AAATCACAGTAACCCGAATATCCGGAGAAGAAGGGATATTTTTACACTTACCCTCTCCCGCATGTGACGCCCCTGAATGAAATTCTGAAATTTCGAATACGGAGTCCTATTTACCATCGAATGTTTATGCCGTACACCAATTTTTAAAAATTTGTTGTGAAGGATTTTAAAGTTATAGAGAAAAAACCGTCTTTGAGGTGTCCTATTCAAAGGGCCGTAGCTCCCTTAGGAAGCATTTTCGGATCCTTATCAATAGGAACTTTTTGCCTTATTTTCAAGCAAGGAATACGCCTCTGAAAGGATGCCGCTTACTTTTGAATCACCCTGTATAACACAGTGAAAATCTGATGCATAAACTCATAGACTATTCATATTTTCATTATATTCAATAGGCGTCCCGTAAATTTATTATATATTTATATATATATATATATATATTGTTAGGAGGAGGGTAGTCGTGACTGACTAGTTAAGGTAAAAATACATTAACTTTAGAAACAGTTCCAAAGGAAATCTTTCTAGGTGAGGTTGCAGTCAAAATTTTGGCCTTAATGAGAGGACTCTTTGTTACATAGCCGAGCTTTCGGAAATGTTTATTTCCTTTATCAAGACATCTATAAAAAATGGGTAAGTGAAAAAACTTTGTCAATAATACATTTAAAAAAAGTACTTACTAACGTGAGATTGGTGTAAAACACAATGAAATACATAACAGTAGCATCTTCAGCTGAATTTGACGATTAAAACATTTTTAATTTTATAATTTTAGGATAAAAAACGATAGGAATCAATCCACAGGTTTCATTTCTTTTCCGTAACGGACCTTTGAAAACAAAATGGACGGTTGGAAGAGTCGGAAATGCTAACTACTTCGGTGGAAATCGTTTCAGACCGACGACCGTTGTGAGAGAAGAAAGGGAACCGTGGCGGTAAATTTGAAAATTAATTGGGTGGTGAGACAAGAAATTAAGGTTGAGGAATTGTTTGTGATAATCTAAATATGTTATTAGGAATACAATTTTTTTGTTCTATTGCAAGTAAATAATTATAAATGCTACTCAAGTTGCCAATGTCTGTTCTTTTATTCATTTTCGAAAGTTCATTATTGATAAAAACCATTTCAAGAAAATTTCGTTTGAGATAATTATTTTCATGAGCTAAAATTTTGACATCATTGAAATTCATATGGTGACCTACATCATTAACATGCTCTGCTAATGCACAAGTTCTTTTATTACATTTGCTGTCACTCTTATGTGAAATTATGCGTCCTGATAAATTCCTGGAAGTTTGGCCAATATAAGTCAATTCACAATTCTGACAAGGAATTCTGTATACCACATTAGTCATTTCTAATTTATTCATGGGAGATTTTGTTTTGGTGAAAAGAGAGGAGACAGTTTTAATTGTTTTTTTAGCAATTATGAAGTTTTCATTTTTGAAAATGTTGGCAAGTTTAGGAGTTAAATCTTCTATGTAAGGAAGTGATGTATATTTCGGAATTTCTATATTTTGAGGAGCAACCGGAAGAATTTGTGAATTTGGAAGATTATTATCATATTTTCTATGATTCTAATTTCTGAATTGAACAAAATGTTATTGATTATTTTAATTGGATAAGAATTCTCAAGTAATATGTTCCTTAATTCATTCAAACTATTTTGCCTGTGCAAAGGATGAGTCAACTTAACCACTCTGTCTTTCAAGGCCTTGATCAAATTTAACTTCATTTTCATAGGATGGTAAGAGTAGAAACTCATGAAACGATTGCTGCACATGGGTTTTCTATACCATTTGGTGCGTAAGACATTGTCATTAGCTCTAATGACAGTCATGTCTAAGAAGGGTAGCATGTTGTCAACTTCAGATTCACTGGTGAACTGTAAGTTGAGGTCGAAGGAGTTGAAGTAGAACAGGGTTTGATCAGTCCAACCATTTGGAAGACAAAGAATCAAGTCATCTACATATCTTTTCACAAAAGGAATTTCATAAGGAATGATATCTAGACAATCCTTAACCAAATCATCTAAGACATAATTGACAAGAATGGGAGAAATGGAGGAGCCCATAGGAGTACCAAAAATTTGTTTATAAAAAGAATTCTCAAACATTAAGAAGTTAGAATCAAAAATAAATTCTAAAATGGTCCTGAAAGTAGGCCAATCTAAGTTACAATGGTTTGAAATTGTATCCCATTTTTTATGTAGACTGCTGAGCACAGTTTCAAGAGGTAAATTTGTGAATAGTGAAACTACATCAAAGCTGACAATGATGTAATTTTCTGGAATTTGAAAATCATTGATGAAATCACTAAATTGAAATGAATCTTTAATATAGAAATCGTTGTCAGTGTCATATGCAAGAGTCAAAATATTAGTTAAAAAAGAAGCTAAAGGCCCATTTGGAGAATTTATCGAAGAAACAATAGGTCTCATTGATAATGTTGGTTTATGTATTTTTGGGAGAGAATAAAACCGTGGTGCAGTAGCATTGTATGTTTTAAGTTTTTTTGCTGCAACGGAGTCAATCATCTTGTCATTTTCTAATTTTTGAACTAATTTATTGGCTTTCTGTTGTAAGGTACAAGTGGGATTGTTGTTGAGCTTTTTGTAATATTTTTCATCATTAAGGAGATCTTGGCTTTTGTTGAGGTAATCCTCTTTTGACATTACAACAGTAACATTACCTTTGTCACTTTTCACAATGCAAAGATTAGGATGAGATTTTAAGAATTTTTGACATTTGTTAAATAATGAAGTTAAGAAATGTTGTTTGGAAAAATTTTTATGTAAATGGTTTGTTATAATATTAGTGAATTGAGCTCTGTAGATATTTTTTAAAGATTCATTGCAATGGGCAATCATTGCTTCAAGATCAGATAATAGAGAGGAGATTTTGAAATCTTGAATGGACGGAGTGATGCTAAATTTGGGGCCTAGAGAGAGAATGAATTTGATGTCATCTGGGAAAACTACGTCAGTTAGGTTTTTGAACCATTTATCTTGAACTAATATTTTATCAAATTCATCAGATTTGAGTCTATTGAATTTGTTATTATGTGTTGACTTGATTTTGTGAAAATTTCTATCAAATTTAATTTTTAATCTATGTTCGTACTCAGTGAAAATGTGGAAAGGTAAAATAGCCCTCAACTTGGTTTTTATACTTAACAATTCTTTTTCCAGATGATTGAGTTCGCTGAAAGTGATTTTGATTTCTAAATTTAGAATATTTTTCCTCAACCTTAAATTGAAACCTTGAATCTTGCGTCCAATCTGTCCTCTTGTGTGGTGCAACAGTGAGTTCACATTGTTGATGCCATTGGAGACATGGTTTGGAAAGACGTCGGATTTTCTGCATTTCAGCAAGAAAATTTTTCTGTTATGCATGGCACTTAGTTTGATGTTAGAATTGGCCCATTTCTTCAACAATTTGACACAAGCTGGTCCATATTGTTGGCGAATGTTGTTGAAAAACCCCATATCTGTAATGTTGTTAGGAGGAGGGTAGTCGTGACTGACTAGTTAAGGTAAAAATACATTAACTTTAGAAACAGTTCCAAAGGAAATCTTTCTAGGTGAGGTTGCAGTCAAAATTTTGGCCTTAATGAGAGGACTCTTTGTTACATAGCCAAGCTTTCGGAAATGTTTATTTCCTTTATCAAGACATCTATAAAAAATGGGTAAGTGAAAAAACTTTGTCAATAATACATTTAAAAAAAGTACTTACTAACGTGAGATTGGTGTAAAACACAATGAAATACATAACAGTAGCATCTTCAGCTGAATTTGACGATTAAAACATTTTTAATTTTATAATTTTAGGATAAAAAACAATAGGAATCAATCCACAGGTTTCATTTCTTTTCCGTAACGGACCTTTGAAAACAAAATGGACGGTTGGAAGAGTCGGAAATGCTAACTACTTCGGTGGAAATCGTTTCAGACCGACGACCGTTGTGAGAGAAGAAAGGGAACCGTGGCGGTAAATTTGAAAATTAATTGGGTGGTGAGATAATAATCTTCCAAATTCACAAATTCTTCCGGTTGCTCCTCAAAATATAGAAATTCCGAAATATACATCACTTCCTTACATAGAAGATTTAACTCCTAAACTTGCCAACATTTTCAAAAATGAAAACTTCATAATTGCTAAAAAAACAATTAAAACTGTCTCCTCTCTTTTCACCAAAACAAAATCTCCCATGAATAAATTAGAAATGACTAATGTGGTATACAGAATTCCTTGTCAGAATTGTGAATTGACTTATATTGGCCAAACTTCCAGGAATTTATCAGGACGCATAATTTCACATAAGAGTGACAGCAAATGTAATAAAAGAACTTGTGCATTAGCAGAGCATGTTAATGATGTAGGTCACCATATGAATTTCAATGATGTCAAAATTTTAGCTCATGAAAATAATTATCTCAAACGAAATTTTCTTGAAATGGTTTTTATCAATAATGAACTTTCGAAAATGAATAAAAGAACAGACATTGGCAACTTGAGTAGCATTTATAATTATTTACTTGCAATAGAACAAAAAAATTGTATTCCTAATAACATATTTAGATTATCACAAACAATTCCTCAACCTTAATTTCTTGTCGCACCACCCAATTAATTTTCAAATTTACCGCCACGGTTCCCTTTCTTCTCTCACAACGGTCGTCGGTCTGAAACGATTTCCACCGAAGTAGTTAGCATTTCCGACTCTTCCAACCGTCCATTTTGTTTTCAAAGGTCCGTTACGGAAAAGAAATGAAACCTGTGGATTGATTCCTATTGTTTTTTATCCTAAAATTATAAAATTAAAAATGTTTTAATCGTCAAATTCAGCTGAAGATGCTACTGTTATGTATTTCATTGTGTTTTACACCAATCTCACGTTAGTAAGTACTTTTTTTAAATGTATTATTGACAAAGTTTTTTCACTTACCCATTTTTTATAGATGTCTTGATAAAGGAAATAAACATTTCCGAAAGCTCGGCTATGTAACAAAGAGTCCTCTCATTAAGGCCAAAATTTTGACTGCAACCTCACCTAGAAAGATTTCCTTTGGAACTGTTTCTAAAGTTAATGTATTTTTATATATATATATATATATTTATTCATAAGACGACGTACAGAACTGAAAGACAGTGAATTCCATCATAACAGATCAGCTATACACTTCTAACATCATTTGTTTTAATATACTGATCCAGCCATTTTTCCATCACTGGAAGATTTTCGTTGCTCCATTTCGTTTCTTCTTTGATCTTGATCAGGCCCTTCTTAATCAAAGATTCTGCTGTTCCGAATTCACCCTGCTTTTCCACATACAGTTCGGATACCAGGTCCAACCCATCTTGCGTTTTGAAAAGAGTTGTTGCCGAATCGATGAGAGTATTCCATAAGTTCGGTTTCTTTTCGAACCTGAATGAAAATAGCTTATTACATTGAAACATGAAACATAGGTAGAGGTTCTAGCTAGAACAATGACATAATCTACTATCTAGACCGTTAATGCCATACCAAATCTATTTTCAAAAACGAACTGTATCCCACAGGGTGTAACTGAAAGGTCTTCACAAAAACTCACCAAATATTCCTTACACCAAAACAATTATAATAGAGCAAAAATAAAGTGGCTCAGTTTGGGCGTTAGACGACTCGGAAGTTACAATTTGCAGATCGTTTTTTCATCAGCTTTTGAAGGCAATGAAACGATGCTCATACCTTGATTATTATGTACATAAGTCCATGGGCGTAGAATTTTTTCAGTGAATCAACATCTTAAAACGGGGTTTCGAATTCGGATTGCTTAACTTCTTCACTACAAAAAAGGTGATCAAATTCGATTACTCATGGTTTCGAAAAAAATTTAATATTAGTAATTTGAAGTTTTAGTTAACATTGAAACGATAAGGAGATTGATTAACTAGAAATGCCGATTTGCCAAAGTCGTATACACCATTTTTGGAATTTTCTGGCCAGGTCATATAGGCGTATGAGCTCTTAAGTCTCAACTGGAAGCTCATAGTATATCAACATTCAAAATCATAAAGGGCGTATGCCTATACCTATAGATTTTTCTAATGCGTTCTATAAAAATTCACGGCCAGATGATTCTGGGAGAGAAGGTAGCTATTGAAATGTTTTGCACTTATAAAGTCCTTGAAAATACCTCCGTTGGCAAAGAATTCCAGAGCTTTACCGTTCTATAGACAAACGAGTTTCTGGAAAGAGTAAAAGGACCTCATCGATTTATGCCATACGGGTGTGATTGAAGTTCATACACCACTCGTCAAACCATTTTACTTGCAGTTAGGGAAGGATTTTGATGACGTTGGGTCTGCAAACAACTCAGAAAATGAGACAGCACTTTCATTCTATATTATTTTTTCAATAAGGAACAGTTTCCAGTTTCACTTGAGTTTGAAGTATATGTTTGATTTTGTTATCGTCTGTTAAAACGTACATTTTATTATAATTGCCCATTCGTTAGCGTTAGCAATATAAGAATAGAAAATGGATAAAGGATTTCATACGCGTCTCGTTTACATAATATCATTAGTATTAATTCAGCTATAAAAATTGTTTTAAAATTATTCTGAAATTTTTCTTATCCATCATTCGATTGCCACCTTACGAGCCACCCTCAAAAGTCTTCAAGACACTTGTGCGAGCAAGGAATGACGGGGTCTTACCTTTCAACTTGTGATCCCAAATACTGTCTTAGGCCTTCAGGAAAATTTCTGCAGTCGTGGTGGGAATCGAACCCACCTACCGGCAAAACAACGTGGATAGAATACTGACGCTTCAACTTCGAGGCTGCGCTGGCCAGTCAGTGAAACGGTTATAATAAAAATTTTCTCATCATGGTTCAATAAGTTTTTGGTATTGCAGAACTTGAATCTGAAGTTTGCAAACAAAATTTTCTCGGATATCTGCAAAATCAGCGGAATTTTCGCACTTTTTCCAGTTATTTGTCCGTAATATGAAAATTATACATCACAGTGGAAAGACAATCCCTCATGAAGTGGAAGTAGATGCCATTTTTCATGTGTAATTATTCTTGCTCATGAATGTAAGACTAACGAGTAAGCAGGTAGAGCAAGTTAAAAATAGTGCAAATTCTCTTATTCTGCAAGAAATAGTGTTCTTCGTCGGTTCTCGTAGATTATCCATAATCTACGCATTTCTAGAAGAAACAAACTACACTGTCTGATGTGGAAGAGTCCTGGCGATGTGGGTTAATGCTTTTTTCTCCGATTGGCAGCAAATATTAATTTTGCTGACAAATATCAATCAGCAAAGTATTACTTTTCCTGCCTAGGCAGCAAAGTGGTTACTCTGCTGATTGATATGTATCAGCAAACTTCATAATCCATGAATCGTTTATAATTTCCTTCATATTTCATTCGAGACTTCTCCGGCAACAAATTCAACTCTATATTTTTGCCACCTCCCTTATTTCTGGATGTAAGTACTTCCAGGTCGCTATCACTGTGCATTATATAATAATTCAAATATACCGATATTTTCACAACTGTCAGAATTTTCATGAATTGTCAAACTATATCATGGACAACTGCGATTTCTATCAAATTTCATTTTAATTGAACGCTACAGGTAAAATAAAGAGATTGTTGGATTTCTAATAATTTGCAATCACAATATCCTCCTATATCATTATGAATAACCGGAGAAAAAATTATATGTTCAACTCGGCAGCAAAGTAGATTGACTGCGTTAGCTAGATTCCTAGCCTCGCTACGCTCGGCTATGAATTCAGCCTCGGCAGTCAATCTACTACTTTGCTGCCTAGTTAAACAAATAACTATTGTCAGCATGTTACTCGATTCCTGACTTGTCAAAATTCTTGAGTATATTTACATGAGCTAGATAGAATAATGTTCCTCACACCTGCCTGTTGACAGGAAAAACAACACGAGTTTTACTCATATTCCACCACCTGCAACATCACCATCCCCAGAACTGGATACCAGCAGTACTCCGCCAATCGACGATGTAGTGAAGATTAGATTGTAGAATGTAGTTATTACCCTCATCTAATTATCTTCTATAACCCTAGACGTTTGATTAATCCTAGGATTCCCTTGATACATTTTCAACCTCATCAGGCTTCAGGTAGACCTGTTTTAGGTGATTCAGCCTTAAGCGGACTAGAACATTACATGCATGAGCAAAGTATATGTTCCGCTGTTTTGGTCACGTTGTGATAAATGTGGCAAGTTCAAGTTTCCGCTATAGGTCCATTTTTCTAGTAATATCTCAGAGGGCCGTGCTTAAGCTTTGGCTTGCTGGACTCTGTAACTATTGTTGATAGCCTTTTTTGATCTCGTCGACCTGGAATTGCATGCTCAACAGTAGGAGGCTGTTTCGCTCTCTTTCCATCTCTTCAGATTAGATGACATTTGCTTGTTTCAAAGGAAGACTCAGGTCCAAAAAATATAGACGATGCACCTATTTTTGCTAGGCTTATCCTGGAACCCATGCACAGAGCAAAGATGAATTCCAGTACTCATTTATCATTGAATGGATGATTTGGAAAAAATGGATACATATCTCAATTTATCAGAATTATTTCAACACAATTATAATAACTATAGTTTCAGCGTACAGGATAATCAATTTTTCATGTCCTCCTTACCACACTGAATTCAAAAACGAAACTTTGATCTTTTCATCCGTGTTAGAGCTTTCAAAAATATTAGTTGATGGTGAATTAGATAAATTAAACAAATGGAAACGATGCACTAGAGTGTGGCAACTACGATCAGCATACTTCTGAATACGTCCGAGCTCTCTAACTTACGTTCACCTTCTCCCATGTTAACAAACTTCACATGAGCTCTATATAGGAATACTGTCTGTACAGGGTGGGCAAAATTGGGCGTTTTCACCGTCTATCTCAATAACTAGAGGAGTTATCGAAAAACCGATATACATGTTCCGGGTTCGATTTTGGACAAACCTCGAATGGCACAATCAAAATTTAGATATCTTCATTCGTTTTAGAGATACAGGGGGAGATTGAAAATTTGCCGATTTCGATTTTATTTTCTGACTACTTTACGGTGAGAGGTATCATAAAATTCCAAACGTATATTTATACAGTATGATGCGTGGAATCCATTGGCGTCATCAGAAATTTTATACAGGGTGACGTTGAAAAGATACGGCAGCCAATTATGTTTTTTCTAATGGAACACCCCGTATATTTTGGCACAGTTGAATAGTCCCAGGCGTTCTCATTACAAATATATATATAACCCTACCTTTTCCTCCCACAATTTCAGATATATTCGCAAAAATATATTCAGTGTGTCACATTTCTTATAGTTACACCCCCGTATCTTCTGTATCTGGAATTTGGACATCTTCTATGAGGCTATATTTTTCAACGCAACCTACTGATTTCCTAATTGAGTAAATTATTGGTCTTATAACAATGATATCAAATCGAATAATTTCCCATTTTATTTCTCACCAAATATCCATTTGTCTGGAAAAAACATTCCCTATGATATTCATTTTCAACCTTTGGTGAATATATACAGAGTGTCATTTTCAACCTCGATTCTGCCTGTTGATAGCATTATCCAGAAATATCGATGATTCCATAGCTGCTGGCGAGCAGTGTTATCATTGGAGATGATTCCACTTGGTCCATGACTCCATGAGTGTATCATTTGTATCTTTCTGACAGTTGCGAATTTTTGAATCCTACCTCAATTATTTTTACAGAAGATACGGGGGTGTAACCATAAGAAATGTGACACACTGAATATATTTTTGCGAATATATCTGAAATTGTGGAAGGAAAAGGTAGTAATATATATATATATTTGTGATGAGAACGCCTGGGACTATTCAACTGTGCCAAAATATACGGGGTGTTCCATTAGAAAAAACATAATTGGCTGCCGTATCTTTTCAACGTCACCCTGTATAAAATTTCTGATGATGCCAATGGATTCCACGCATCATACTGTATGAATATACGTTTGAAATTTTTTGATACCTCTCACCGTAAAGTAGTCAGAAAATAAAATCGAAATCGGCAAATTTTCAATTTCTCCCTGTATCTCTAAAACGAATGAAGATACCGAAATTTTGATTGTGCCATTCGAGGTTTCTCCAAAATCGAACCCGGAACATGTATATCGGTTTTTCGGTAACTCCTCTAGTTATTGAGATAGACGGCGAAAACGCCCAATTTTGCCCACCCTGTACGTTATATATAGGAAATTCTCGAGTCATACTTGTAGATTATGATTTATCTACGACAAATCTACCAAGAACGCTATTTTTACTTAATTTAATTACGCAAATTTGGCCAATCTATAACTCGCTCTAGCTCCTCACTTGATAGTCCGACATCCACGAGCAAGACGCATTCATGTAATGAACTAGGCCGCCAATGACTTCCAGGATTCATCAGAAGTCTGAGGTTATAGAAGACCATTAGATGAGGGTGATCCCTCTAGTATACAATCTAACGCAATATGGTCTTTTAGCGGGGGCTGCGGATACCCTGAAGAATCCGGTTCTAGGGATGGTCATGATGTAGGTGGAGCAGAACGTGTTCGCTCTAGGCTACTCTCATCCTCAATCTGGTGGTGTGGGAGAGATACTTGTTTTTTTTTCGCCTACGCTAACGAATACCTAGAGGCAGGTGTGAAAAACATGATTCTACTTAATTGATGTAAATATACTCAAGTACTCGAATCGAGAATCGAGTAACAGACTGACAAAGCAATAACTAACATGGCCAGGACTCTTTCAAATCAATCAGTTCCCTCTAGAAATGCGTATATTATGAATTATCTACGAGCACCAACGAAGAACACAATTTTTTGCAAAATACGAGAATTTTGTCTATTTTCAACTGGCTCTAGCCCCTTACCCGTTAGTCCAATATATATAAGCGAGTACAATAATTATGCATAGGAAATGTTATCATATTCAAGTTTTTTTAGGGTGATATTTTCCCTATAATGTATAGTTTCCGAGTTACGGACAAAAAACTAAAACAAGTGCAAAAATGTCGCTGTTTTTTGCGAATATTTCGGAACGCTCCAGGAAATTCAGTTTGTGAACCTCAGATTTATATGCATCCCCAAATACATATGAAACTACAAAGAAACCGACTACTTGGATTTTTCCCACGTGCAAACAGCATTTTATTGGACTATAGTATTATTACTACTATTTTATTACATTGAATGAATTTATAATCATTATTATAATTATCGATATTTTTATTATTGTTATCATAATTTTTATTATCAATATTATTATTATTATAATTATTATTATTATCACATAGGCGTATGCGCCAATTTGCGCACACATTCGAAATATACTCTTCTGAAATTCAACTAATTGGAATCTTATTCCATATCACTTATGATATGAATGGAATCTCGTGATAATCAGTTTCAAAAATCTCGAAATATATCTGGAATACTGAAAAAGCACACTATTTTTGCTCAGTTGTGCAACTACAATAGTGGAGCATACGCCCTCCTGATATATTACCCTCGATATGTGTTATCAGCTATTTTTATATATTTTTTTGTACTGAGTGAGCCATAACCGTCTAGCGTCAAAACTGAGCAACTTTGTACTGAGGTGAGTTTGCTTGTATTCAATTATTTTCTCCGACAAATAGAACAAACATTGTTTAAAAAGGTGAATACTGAAATAAAAACCTGAAGTTTGCGAGCACTCGGTATTTTTTACCTGACTTTAACGATATCCCAATTATTTCTCAAGAAACTGAACAGGCTCTTGTAACCATCTGCACCAGCCGTCAGCATATCGAATATCAAAGAAATGTCCTCATCTGTGAAATTCCCATTTTGCTCCAAAACAGTTATATTCAGCATCTTTTCTATTTTTTGACTATCGACTGAACATCCGGCCAAGTTCTTGAGCAAGTAAAAGCGATCTTCAGATTTTCCTGTAGCAGGAAATTGTAAAACTCGTTCCAGGCCGAGGTTCCATTCCTTGAGTGTGCCCCATTTGAATACAGGACAAAGATAACTCTGGTGGAGCCCACTTGAAAGAAAGAGAGTCCGTAGAGAATATACAGGGCATAGATAAAAACATTAAAATAATGGGATGTCGTATTCCTATAAGATGATTCCACTTATTTCAAAATACAGGTTTTTATTGATTGAAATATCTGTGTTGTGTTGTGTGTGATGTTTCCGTTCTTGTATTTCGGCTGTTGATTGGCTACTGGATACCTACATGGCTGTGTTTTCGATTTTGTATTCCGCTTTCTCACTGGTAGAGTTTGATCAAATATAAAACAGAATGACTTACATGTAGCAGGCTGTCATGAACATGGATGTCATAATATTTCCATATTTATGTAAAAATAACACTCTACACTGCACTTCATATAGAATGGTGATAGGCGCTGAATTTCAATTTGTATTCGCGGTAGTCAAGGTCATCATCTGTCGATGCGATGCCATGAAAACTACGAAAAAACATGTCTAACTCGTCAGTCCAAGCCATTCAAGTTAAACATTGTCAAAAGCATTCAAATTTGGTTTTCTGAATTTTTAGTTGTCACTACAACCACACAACTAGACGAGCAAATAATTTTTCTGTCAAGAAAATCGAATCAGATATTGGTTAAAAATCCATCTATCACAATAGAATGATACAATACAAGTCAATACCAAATAACTTGAAGCTGATTAATAGGATTGAAAAAGAAACATCTACTCCTGTAATATTGATATCTTATCTCATTTTTATAGTTTTCTCGTATAACTACTATAGTTTTCCATCGGGTACCTAACAGCTGAGTCAATTGAGAATAATCTTCAGTTGAACTTAAATAAAAAGATTTCTTCTTGAGTGTGAGTCTTATTTTACTGTCTTCTTTATTTTGTCAAATATATTTATGTATTCAGCATGTTCCCTGCTATAAACAATAGTTATTTGTTTGACTAGGCAGAAAAGATTAATGCCGTGTAGGAAACCAGCCAAGGCATTACATCTTCTTATCACACTCAATCTTTATACTGTCATAGCTGATAAACTCACAATGTAGGACTTCGCTCCAAGTTGCCAACCTGGAAACCTCTACCACTGTAGGAGCAATATTATGGAAGTTTGACTACTTGAATAGCTTTATTTTGGTGAAATCTGATTGTAGGAGTCTAGTCAACTCTCTAATGGAAGTTATTGAGACGAAACATAAGTTTTCGTGAACTGCACATCTGACGGTTGAGAATCATGTTGGTGCATCTGCGGTACGTCAATACTGAAATGTCAATACTTCCAATATTGTCAGTAGTGTCACGAGAAACGATTGGTGTGTCAATGAAAAACTTAATCAGTAAGTTTGAATCACGTTCGAACTCCGAATAATGATCAAGAAACTCTCATGAGGAACGCGCAAACCTAAAATGAACTGGATGTGAGAGGGTTCCGAAGTTATCTGGTCTGGGGCTACTTTCGACTTGCCATGATTGTTATCAACATGTCATGTTGTTTCTATGTTTCTATATTTGTTGTTGTGCATTTATATTTCTTCACCCTCCATAATGTCTCATGCTATAATGAACTTTGTAATGTTCGAATAGTCTTGTGATTTCAGATACCCTTGAACTATCTGTGTCTAATTATTTGAATAAAGGTATGTTATTTTGATATTGTTTTATTACGACAATTATTGTGATATGTATCTCTCTCATCGGAAACTTTGACCGGTTTCCATCGAAGATGAGCCGTGTAAGCTTCAATAGTTATTTTTTCTGTGACAGGATATACAATGTCACTTTTCATGAATAACTTTTAAGTTTTTGATCTTCCATGTCAATTCCCCAGGTAGCACATGACGACTATATGACGTCTAATTGACGGCATCACATTCGGCCAAAAGACGTCTTCATTTTAACAAATGCGACGTCCAAATGACGTAAGTAAGACACATCCAAATGACGTCATATTTGAAAGTCTTTTAGACGTCAGTATGTGTTTTCAAATTGGACCTTATACTGACACTACTGACCAATTTCCGACGTCAATAAGACGTTTGTTTTTTTATAAAAAATTTTGAGGTTAATGGTTATAATCTGGTGAGGAAGGTAATCATTTGTGCTATAAAATAAATTTGCTACGAATGAAGATTTTATTAACAAGATTGTAATGTGAGGTATTACATATAGTTGAAAATTTCAGCGTCGATGGCTGCCCCTTCACCAGAGAGCTCTTTTGTATGTTTTGCTGTCTATAAATGGCGGCCAAAACACTTCCTTTTTCAACGGCGTCAGCCAAGTTTCGTGAACAACAGCTTCACTGTTGCTTCCACTGTCATTAAATTGTAACACACAATACATCCTGAATACTTTCACGTGAACAACAGACTGTATAGAAATACCACTTAAACACTCAACATTTTAACATTCTTAACAAATCCAATGGCACAGACGCCGTTCACAAACAACACCCATTCGGACATGGACGATGGACGATGAACATGAACGGGAACGCAGCTGAACGGCAGTAACGCCACTAACGGCAGCCGCGAGATGGTGGCGAGTCGCATACACAATCTCTTCGCGTAATTACTTGATCGCCATTGGCCATCTGGTGGGTAATGTGAGAACTGTCTTTGGCGCTGAATTTAAACATTGAAAATCAAGGGAAGCCTATGGAATAAAATCCATTTTTATTATACAGTTATTTGGATAGATTAATTGATTTATTCCATAACTTCGTTTTTCTATACATACATAATAATAATAATAACAATAATAATAAAAATGATAATGATAATAATGATAATGAGGCCGCAGGTTCGTGACTGAAATCATATGAACTCGAATAATAATAATAATAATGATAATGATAATAATACCCAAAAAAATATGAAGACCATAGATTGACGTCTATACGACGTCAAACAGTGGCTGTCCATAAGACGTCAAATTAATGACGTCCACATGACGTCATAATTTGGTCAAAAGACGTATGAGACCAAAAAAGACCTTAGATAGCGGTCCTATAGACGTCACATTCGTCAGTCTGGCTACCTGGGTCGTGGTTACGTAAATCACTAAGCAACGACTAAGTTTGCAATTGTTTGAAATCAATTCACATAATTAGACTGACAGATATTTCACTTCAAAAGAATGACAAAGATGCCTGCAACGCAAGTAATCACTGTTAAAAACTTCAAATTTCATGTCGATAATTTTCTGGAATTCAATATGTGCTACAGTGTCATTGTTATGTTTATATTCATCGAAACATTTAGAATCTATTTTGATATATCCTATTATTCCTCTGTTGAATCAAGGAGGATATTTTCTCATTAGTGAATTTTGGTACACACTTTTGAAAAACGCTGTATACTTTTCCGTAGAGATATGTACATGTTTGGTCGGCATCCTGAAACGAATATAAGAAATTTGATACAGCTGTTCCAAGTTGGTTTCACCAAAATTGTAACTGTGTTTGTTGTTATATTAACTAGGGGACATGAGTATTCAACATTGGAGTCCAATTTTACTGATATTAACAGAGCCTGATGATGAATATGCTCTCTTAGTAAGGTGCCATGGGATGTTTCTACAGAACAGTTATTATTGAATAAAACACGATCTAGGATATATTCATTGGTGTTCACGATGAGATTATGTTGTTGCATGTGGAACATAACAGAAAGAATATTCAAAATTGTAATTTGGCGATTGCCCTGATACAACAAAAAAATTTCATCTTTGTTTATGTGAGCATTATTACATCTGAGGTGTACATGTCCCGAAGTTAGACTACTGACATATTTACTGAAGGATGTGATTTAAAAAACGTGGTGTACCCAATAAGTTACAATGGTCCAAATTTTTTTACCAGAAGAAAAACTTCACGAATTATAAAGGTTCTTAATCTTGAAGCCAATGTGAATGTGATGGTTATGACACCTCATGGAAAGAAATGGCCAACCCATAAAGGAGAAATATTTTATAGCAACAAAACTATGATAATGGTAATAAAAACATCTGAAAGTCGTGGACGAGGAGATTCCGATTTTCCCGAAGAAAAAGATTTTAATCAAGGCAAAATAGATGATAATTTGCGTTCGATTTCAGAATTAGGCCTTATTTGAAATGTTATATCCTTCAAGTTGTATGGTTTAACGAAAAAACGAAATAATGTTTCCTTGTTAATTAAACTTGTCATGTTTGAAACATTTTCGTTATCTAGCGATATGAGCTTCTTGAGAAATATTTATTCGTGTTCTTCTTCCCCCTACTATGTATGTATAGAACATCGCGAAACTTGTTTGCCATCTCATTTCTCTTTGTTCTGCAATGTCAATCTTCAGTACAGAGGCTCATAACGTGGAAAATCTCATATTGAAAGCCAGTCTACCAAAGTTAACCCCCAATGGCGGTAACATAGTGAAACTCTTTAGGCCGAATTCATCAACTACCAAAATTGATAAATAATGTTATTGTAGTAATCCATACTTGAATGTACATATGTATAACCCAGTTATTTTAGCAAAATTCAGTTTCATTTGGGAAAAACATGAGGAACCGTACCAAGGCTTCCCCGTTTTATGATAGTAGTCATGTCAGAAGTGAATGCACCTGAATAACGTCTATCCAAACCATTGAATAGGTAGAGGGATCTCCCAACCTAACGCCTCTGGGTTTTTTGTGGAGACCGATTTCCGATCGATACTAGGGAGGAACTTTGGAGAAATAGCGATATGATGATGGATTATTTCGATGAGTACAGCATGTTCCACCTTATGTTTATGTTTGAATTGCATGGTAATACTCACGGTGTTTTCTCATCAGACGACTCTATCCATTGTTTGAAAGATTCTTGTGCTTCTCTGACTAGGGGTTCGTAACCAGCCGACAGCAACCATCTCTTCGTGGCCCTCCTCAGATTAGCTATATTATCGCTCTCCCCCTTTTCAGGCTCTTTTCCCAACTCTTCATAGAGAGATGTTAATAGTATTTTAACGTAAGTCTGTAATAGGTTCAAATCGTTCAGGAAAACTTTTTCAATTGTTGGCCTTTGAAGTGTTATGATATATAAATTCAGGGGTAGGTAGTATATTCATCAAAAGTCCAGTTCCTGAAACACTAGACCAAAGGTCCGTCGCCCCCTCGTAACTAGTATATTAAACGTATTACAAAAAATATGAAATGATAAGTTGAAGGGGTCTCATTAGATCTATTCAATGCTTTGAGATTCATTTATACAGAGTGCCTCAACATGAATAACATGAAAACATGGAATACATATTCAGTTTCCTTAACCCATCCCCCGTGTGCAATTTGATGATTAGGTATTGCGGGTGATTTTATCTCTTCAAGTACTCATTGGAGAACACGACATGCAATGGTGGAGGTCTCAGATACGCGACTGGCCAATATGGCGGCCATTCGAAGATGACTGCCACACTGATGTTCTGGTCCTGCTTGTCAGTTGGTATCAACAGCTCCCAAAGAAGACGTCCTTCTGTCTAATGGGACCCAAATCCAGGGAAATTGAAGTTGACGAAAATTACGCAAAACTTGGGTCCCAGCGAGCAGCTGCACTGCCTGGAATGCATGCAATTTCAGGTGCTGATGTCACTGGAGCGTTCTCGGGAAAAACAAAAACTGCTTTTTGAAACCGCCTCATGAATGCAAATGAAAGAGTGCTTCAGGCACTTTCATCTCTTGGTAGAACTTCCTTCTTAACAGATGAAATCTACAGTAGGTTAGAATAATATCTTTGTTCTGTCTACTTGAGGGAACCAGAACATTACTGCTTAAGTGAACTAAGGTGATGGCTATTTTCCAAAAAGCAAGTTGAAGGTGCTAGTCTGCCCCTAACCTTAGCTTCATTTCGTCCTGCAGTCTGAAGAGCAGATTTGCAGGCTATGATTTGGAGTTGTTGTTGCAACACCTGACCTACCATGTCCATAGAGAACGGTGAATTTGTTCCAGAGATGAGTGAACTACCATGTGGACCACCAGGATTTCTATTGAAGAATGGACTTTCATGTACAGAGATGTGCAATTGTTCTGGAAATGAACAAAACTGTGACAATGTTCCCAATAAGGCCAGTGAACCGTTGGATGAATACGACAATGAAACTGACACTGACATTGAGTAACGACTCACCCTCGAATCTCTTCACTGATGAACAATAAAATTCTTATCTGTTGTTTTCAATTCAACTAGTAGGACCCGCTGGTAGTGATTTTGTCCTGCGAATATTGTATTTTATTATCAGTGACTACTACTAGTTACTTTCCATGACAATAGACCAAAGAATAGGTTTTTCGTTCAAAAATCTTTCTAAAAGATAGCGCTCGTAAAAATCTACAAACGAGGAATAAAAACTTTCGAAATAGGTTGAAAAATGGCCGAGATAAGGGTGTTTTTAATATGTAGTTTGGCAGCCATCTTGGAATGGCCGCCATATTGGCCAGTCGCGTATCTGAGACCTCCACCATCGCATTTCGTGTTTTTCATTAAATACATACATGTAGAGATAAAATCACCCGCAATACTTAATCATCAAACTGCACACGAGACACAAAAAATACCTGTTAAGGAAACTGACTAACATGAGAATCATGACATCATGAATAAATAGTATGGAGAAGCACCAAAATGAACTTTGTTAGATATCTTGGTAACCAAGAAGGTAATTTATTTCGTCATTCATTGAAATATGGAAAGAAGGTCAGTGACGTACGACTTTTAATCGATTTTCTTCAAAGTCAATGCGAAATATCTATCTCCCTGTATATTGATGAAATTGGTATAACATGTTTTCGATTCATATCCACTAAAGTAACTCGCCCTCTAATTTTCAGAGCAGTATCTCTGAAGGACTTTGAGATATTCTAGAAAATATGGAAATAAAATGATTGTTCATCGCCCCCTCACGGCTCAACGGTAAGTTTTCGTATAAAGGTAAATTAATCTCAATCGGCCTATTTTGATCTCTAGTTCATCCTGTAGAATTCATGGTACGTTGTTCTGGGACACCCTGTTTATGAGATCCCTTGGTAGGCTTTACTTCTCGAATGTTCTCCAATGATCTTCCGTACCCTTCTTTTTGTTCTGAAAGCTTCTTAGAATAATACCTCTTTCACTGATTGTCCCATCGATCATTTCCAGAACATTTCAGAATCTTTTGTCACGTGATTTGTCTCCGCGACATATCTTGAGTGTTCGGAAATTGGCTGGTAACATGTTGGAGAACAATCTGGGATGTTACAGGATGATCTTTGTACTCCTGCCTTCCTGATAATGTTTTTAGAGCCCCTCTAAGAGGAATATCATTACAATTTTGTTCTGTATGGTTTCAAACCTCCAAATGTGAATTACAATGTGATTCCTATGAAGGATTTTGAATAAACTGGCACATCTAAACAGCATTTTTGCGAACCTAATAATCATTTACTCTGTAACAGTGAGTTCAACATAAAATAATATATCTTGTTTTTTTTCTCAAATCATGTTTTTCATGTCATCGCAACGTCAAATGATGACCTCGACTATACCACGAATTATATGCCTTATTTATGGTAAAGATGAATAAATATTACCTAGTTATCCATCGTTTATGCATTCAAAATTTTTGAGGATATGATGGAGGGAGAACGGAATTTGTCCTATCTAAATAATGTCTGGACTCCACCCAGATGACCTTATACAAGGTGAATCAAATAACTTTAGAGTATCAAAATAGTCACATGAAGAAGAATATTGTACATACCCGGAATTTTGTGTGTACTGGAGAACCATCAATAAGTCTACCGACATGGTCAATCATCGTGAAAAATCTTTCCCAAACGACAAATTCTCTTTCATTCTTCAAGAACAATGTCATGTTCAGTGCTGTGGCAAAATTGAGATCTCCGGCATATGCGAGGTTCCAAGCATCATGTAATAGTTTAGTTCTTGTTAGGACTGGAATATTTTCACGATTTTCCGAGCATAAATATTCCAACAGTAGGGCCCAGTTATGATGGTCGTAGTTGACTACAAATGGACCTGGAAGGAGAAACAACGTTTTCATAACAAGTGTACGTCGTTAAAATACCCATACCGACAGACACGTCAACTTTCAATCAAATCATTAAGAGGATACTAGGAAATGAATAATCGAATCACTCCAGATTGAGAAATCAAAATCATCTGACTAACAAACTTTCAATAACCAAATCCACCAGATCAAAAACTTTCTACAACTCGACTCCTATATGTACAGTGAATTCCATTTTGGGTGAGACAAGTCAGGTAGTTGTTGAAGGTAGAACTTTGGTGTTTTCGTGATACTGTGCAATTTTTTTGTGAAACTCAAGATGACTTATTCAGATTTTGCATAACTATTTTCGTTTATGAGATACAGGGCGATTTCGAAAATTCATACTTTCTGGACTCCCTCTATATCTACGAAGTTTTTCAGCCAAAATATCAAATTACAATTTCATCCCATAGAGAATTTTACGCAGAATAAAGTGGCTAACCCAATTTGTTTCCTGGGTATGGTTTTGGAGATACGACTCAATCTTATGACTTTTAAAAAAAACACCTAGTATTTCACTAGCCCATTGAATACCTTCCTGTTTTTTGCTTCAAAATGATACATGATGTTTCGATAGAAATTTATCAAAAATGCTCCAAATTCACTAAAACATTGAATGTTACTTGTGGGCTATGAATTTTTCATATAAAAAAGTCCTAATTAAAAAATATTTCTTCTTATATTTTTATGAAGAGGACAAAAATGAAACCAATACTAATTAACTAACAGAACACAAAATATAGGTACCTGATAGCAACAAATGAATGGTAGTAAAAAGTTTATAATGTAGAATAAAAAGCTGATTGAATATTCTCTAAAATAACTGGATTAAGAAATTATCCAGTGAACTCTCCATTGAAGGGTTCAAATTGATGTCCATTTTTCATAACATACTATTGACATACTTTCTCAAAAAGTCTTGTTACAGTAAGAGGTACATCAATCTTGAAGAATTCATCCAACAACAGAGGCAGTTTTCCAGGAATTACAAAGACATCCTTTAATGATTTTGAATTCATTACGACCTATTGAGAAAGCGTGTGAGGATAAATGGACATCAATTTGAACAATTCGATGAATAAGTTACTGAATAGTTTCGAAATTAAATAGTTTTAGTAAATATTCAATCCCATGTTCATTCTACATTATGGACTATTTATTACTATTTCTTTGTTGCTATCAGGTACCTATGTTTGGTGATTTGTTAGTAAATTATTGTTGGTATTGATTTTGTCCTCTTCAGGAAAAATCGAAAGGAATATCCCTTCAATCTGAACGTTTTTTATATGAAAAATTTATAGCCCACTTTTGAAATTTTCCACGGGAAAAAAGTAATTTATAAAAAGTGACATTTCATAACATGCCAACAGAGATGAAATGCCAAACTCTTTTCCCGTCACATGAAAAAAAAAAAAATTAATTCAATGAGCTGATAAAATGCAGGGTATTACATTTAAGAAAATCACGAGTAGGATAGAGTCCTATCTCCAAAGCCATGTCGAGAAAAAAAAATTTAGTGCACCACTGGATTCGGCGTGAAATTGTCTATGAGATAAGATTCTGATATTTCCGCTGAGAAACTTTGTAAATAAAGAGGGGTTACAAAAAGTATAATTTCTCAAAATTGCACTTATGCAAAATCTAATTAGGCCATCTTGAGTTTCACAAAAAAGTGGCGAAGATTCGCGGAAACTGCGAGGTCCTAACTTCAACAACAAACCTGGCTGTCCCACCCAAAATGGTATGCATTGAACACTTGTACAACTAATTTTGCGCGAAAATTAACTTTTCATACATCTTTGTATACAGAAAAAAAAGGAAAATATACAATGCTATTTGAACGAAAAAGTCAACAATCGCTGTGTGCTAGAGTTGAAATTGGGAAAAGAAATTTTTTAGTTTCTGATTTCATTTGCTTTTTTGTATTCAGAAATGGGACAGTTCATAGTGGCGCTATGGCTTCGGGAGTTTTTTCAGTCAGCCTGTATACAGATTGTTTGCCGAATCGTTACATATAGGGCATGTGAATGGCAACATGGCTCGGCTATCGAACGTATTCGCTAGTCTGCCCTGGGACCCTATTCTCAAACGGTCATATGTTTTAGTTTTTATTCCGAAATCAAAAAATCCGTGAAAGTGGCAAATACTTGTGAGCCGACAGTAGTGAATATGCTGATTTTTCATTCCGAAATAAATGAAAAAATCACTGAAATTGAGTGATACTTGTTAGCAGACATACTCATTCCAAATATTTCCACTCAACATTCTGCTGAAATTGCTGACTATCAAAAGGTAGTGTGGCTTCAGTGAACTTTAATTATTTCAGAGGAGATAGGAATGGCACATTTTTTTCCATTGTCCTTCAAACATATTTGTCTGGTCTTATCAATAATAATTTAATAATATCATATTTACTGAAAATGCATGTTAAAATTCTGCCAGCTGATCAACTGCTGCTGATTACTGATGAAAACCATGGAAACGTGTTCCGAATTACAACACTGTATTCTTGAATTCTCATTTCAGATTTTCAGCAGAGTCAATGGATTCACCGACAGTACTTACCAGTTGAATTCGTAATATAACCACTATTTATTGCAAATATTTCTACTCAACATTCTGCTGAAATTAATGACTATCGAAAGGCAGCGTGGTTCCATTATTTCAGAGGAGGAAGGAGTGTCACATTTATTCTCGTTGTTTTTCAAATAAGAAATTAATAATATCATTCTTAATATCAAATATGCCTGTTATTGGAATATTCGACGCTCAGAATAATATCTAGTTCAGGAGAATGAGAAACTATACATAAGTGACAACCTGGACAATTGATGAAGTTCACCAGCTAGTCAACTGCTGCTTACTGCTGATGAAAACCATGAAACCCTGTTCCGAATAACGGCACTGTATTTTCGATTTTACATTCAGAAACGCAGCGAATTTAGTGGATCAACTGACAGAACTGACCAATTGAATTCGGAATACAGCCATTGGCGAACAAGAAACGTGAGTGCTCATTCTAGAATGACGCATTCGAAAATTTTCGATAGACGAATTGTAGTGGTCTCAAGCAGTCGACAATTTCATGTCGAATGCGAGAATTTTTTCATTACTTTTGTTATTTTAAGAATGGCAGCATTATTCATAGCGATTGAAAATTTGAAAAATCGCGAAAATCATCAACGGCCACGAGAGAGTCAAGGAATATAAAAGAATGCGCGATCAGATTTTCATCGGACAGAAAATTTATAAATGAATGCAGATTGAGTATTGAGAAAGAGCTCATTGATGCACACTGCTGGAACCATTTGTAGCATAGGTATGTACATCGGTCTGCTGCATTTTTATTCAAATAAAAGTGGCTCATTTTTTTTTTTTTTTCATCAAGATGAGTGTTTTCTGAGAGAGGGATGAGAAGAAGTGCAATTCCTTTTTTTTTTCATTAGTCCACGATCCTGCGGAGGTAAAATATTGAAACACAACCTCTCATCCTCACTTATCTGTAAAACATTGGAACACGACCTCACTTTCCCTATTTGTTTACAAAGGAATCAAAGGATTGAAATAGTTTTTCACATTATTTTGGCATTCGAATCGTGCAAATGGATATATTCATAATGGATACTCACCAATTTCTTCTGGATTAACAATGATAAATGAATCGTCTCCTGGCAAGTTGTCAATTCGAATTTCTCTCTCCTTTTTCATCCATGTATAGGGAGTACCATCGTCAAAGTTCATTTTATCCTGTTTAACGAGCACAACTGGTATCCACCAAAGCAACTTTTCTTGGTCTGGAATGTCATGGGGCCGGTCTCGTAAGTAAACTTTCTGAAAGTATTCGTTTCATATGAAAACCTAATTCACTAACTGCGAAATTACAGGTATTTGATTCGCCGTTTATCCAACGCTGAATGGGTTAAAACAGCTTATTCGTTGATATTTCAAAATATTGTTACATGCTACAAGTAGGTAAGTATATTGAGATAATAGATACTAATATTTTCATTTCATACAGGTAAAAATAAAAAAATGTGCCAAAATCAAACTGCACAATCTGGAAATATCGATGTGCATAAATACGTCTACAAAAGTTTCCAATCAATCATCGCACCAATATGGCATCAAGAAATGTCTTTCTCATTGGTAGCGTTTAATATATTCATTAGTAATACTATATGTACTTCAACATTTTCGGGTTATACATCGATAACTTCTTGTATAATTAAAAACAGTGTCAATTTAACAGCTGAAATATATCATCCTGTTGAACTGACACGATAAAAATGGAATCTTAAGAATACATAGAACATAACTATAGTTTAATTATTTGTTTGTTTATTCTCAGATTTTCACTATTTTTCATGGCGTTTGGACATGGATTGGCATATTTTTCTCTTTTCGATCACCCTTATAGAGACGAGAATAGAAAATTCTATCATTTTAGGAAAATAAATGTCCTACCTCTTGTATAAACCTAAAGACGGTAGTTGAGGATGGTATCCTTCCAACATTATGAAAAAAAACGACGATTTATTCTAAATGTTTGCAACCGAAACGCATAAATCAGTTTTAAGATCATCCAGTTAACCACGCATGTCTCAGCTCTATCACATGAGAGATCAGTCAAAGAACTTTGGTTCATCACACCGTTCTGAAACATATTATGTGTTATGTTTCGAACTCATCCGTGTGGTGGTCGGATTGAAATTACCCCACGGTAAGTCCTGCCTGTAGTAGGGGCGACTAAAAGGACGCCAATAGGTGGAAGATGGTTAACGCCATCGCCCGGTGCGATACCACCACATCAACCATAGGCACTGTGAAATGGGTATACTTACCCGTGTTTCAGTAGCTGGTTGATGTTCCGCCCAGCCCAACCCAACCCAATTTCCTTTTCCTTCCACGCCAACCTCCCTTCTTTATACAGAATAAGCGATGATGAGCTCTCCTCAAGTAAAATTATCCGGAAGTGAAATACCTCTCCAGGTAGCCGTGCGGACAGAGTGTCCATATTCGCTTGCTGGTCATGGGTTCGATTCCCGTCGACTGCAGACATTTTCCTGATGGCCCAAGAAAGTGTTTGGGATCACACGTTAAAAGGTAAGGCCCCCGTCATTCCTTGCTCGCACAAGACTCTGGAAGACTTCTGAGGGTTGCTCGTAAGGGGGCAACCGAATGACGGATAGAACAATTTTTAGAACAATTTTAAAACAAAATTTTAAAACAATTCGGATTTCCGGGCGAGAGGTGCTAGAGGGGGTTCACCATCGGCTGAAAAAGTCGGTGACCTTTCACTTTTCTATCGATACTTCCACGGGAAATTTTCTTCGGAAATCTCTGCTATCATCCCTTCACTAGCAATACCAATCAGACGAACTAGACAAGCCCAGTCAGCACATCCTTTCGTTGTCACCCTCGAAAGATGTCGAACAGCACTCAATCAACAACAACATATAATCTCCAGAAGTTCAAAAAAAAATTCTAATACCTATCTCCTGTCCCTATCCTCCCTAGGAACGCAGGATGTTCTTTGAACATTATAGGGATTCCCTTTCGTGCGCTCCAAGCGATAAAAAAAACTCTCCAATGATATCCAGAATATGATCAAAATACCGTTCAATCTCACGACTTTTATTCCTCACCATTCGACACTCTATACATTACATTTTGATCTGATCTCGTGGATGTTACATCAGTAGTTATTACATTATACATCTGTATCGAGATCTAGTGCCAGAAAAACTGAACTGACTGTCATAATTATCTCCTTGTCGAGGTGATAGTGGGGATGGCAGCAGATTCAAATGTTCACATATATCACAATATGCAACTTGCATCTCAAATATAACATGTTACTTTTACAAATCAGAGTTTCATCATTCGTTCTATCAACGTGACAAAATGAGGCATCCAAAGCGTCGTCACATAGGAGATCAATTAAAGAACTATGTTTCATCACATGTTCTATCAACGTGATAAAATAGAGGCATATGTTCAGAGGTATATTCACCGATTTTTTGATTTCAACAATTGAAATTCCAAGAATATATCCTCAATATCATGGTGTTGCATTTGAACCTGATTTGGATACTGGTGAAACCAGTATAAATTGATGGAGCTAATGCAGAGCACAGATTTGCCAAAAACGTCTTTGGCATGCTCCATCGAAAGAGCTTTGTAGAGTCATAGTCATTACAGTGCTCTCATAGGAGCATATCTCGTTCAAGTCTGACGTTGCATCACTGATATAAGTCTTTGATTTCATTTGAGGCGGACATTAATCCATGCTATATCTCTGATGGGAACAAGAACATTTGAAATGCAGCGGTTATAAAACGGCTGCATGTTGTGGACTGGGAAGTGGAATAAAATCACTGTAATAGACGTTAGGATTCAAACTCCTGATAGTGTTCGTATAAAAACTGGAATTTTTGATATCTGAATTCTAACCTGTCTCAAATATGCTGTCATATCCTGATAATTTCTTGTAACTGTAACTAAGGGTAATCTCTGTACTGAAATCCAAGAAGCAGCGATTTCATTAACTGTTATCGCTTGAGGTAGTTTTTTATCCACCCTGGCCTGTTCATTCAAACTCGTCCAAATGTCGTCTTCAGTGAAAGTATCAAATTTTCTGGAAGAAAAATAGATTAGGATTGAAAAGAATGTTTTTTGAAGTCCAATTTGAGTTAATCGGTATATATTTCATGACAACAATATTATTAGAATAATTAGTAAAAACTATCGATCTATTCTACACCTTTTTCAATTGTAATTGAGAAAACGTTAATTGATTTTCAGATCTCTCAAATGAAATTCAGAAAGTGTCAATTGTAATTCAGATTCGTCAATTGAAATGTAGAAACAATCAATTGCAATTCAGATATGTCAAGTGAAATTCAGGAAATTCCAATTGTAAATCAGATTTCTCAATTGGAATTCAGAAAACGTTAACGAAAATTCAGATATCGTCATTTGTAATTCAGAATGCAACAGTTGTAATTCAGACAACATGATTTGTGATTCAGATACGCAACTTGAAAATCATAAAGTATCAATTTCAATTCGGCTTAGACAAGTGAAATTCACAAAACTTCAATTGTAATTCAGATTAGTAAAATGAAAATCAGAAAGTGTTAATAAAAATTCAGATATCGTCAATTGAGAATGTGTCAATTGTGACTCAGACTGATGGATTCTAGGTAGACTCATGTAGAAATGGCGACTTGAGAATCATGGAATTATTTTTATTGATGGTCAATTGAAATTCATTTTGATAGGTCATATCCTGGAGAAGTTATAGAAGAAAACGCAATATCCGAAAAAAATGTGCTTTGTAATTTATTACGTTTATTATGCTTGGCTATGTAAGCAAAGGTGATATTGTTCCATATTTATGAATCACAAATGAAGCTTTCTGGATTTTAATTGACTATTTCTGAATTTCATTGAATAATCTGAATTATAATTGATTTTTTCTGAATTTCTAATGACTAATCGAAATTACAAATGACGCTTTGTGAATTTCAATTACCGAATCTGAATAACAAACGACCCAGTCTGAATTACAATTGACTCGTTCTGAATCACAAATGATACCTTCTGAATTACAAATTACACCTTCTGATTTTCAATTGCTGCTTTCTGAATTTTGATTGACGCTTTCTGAATTTCGATTGAATAATCTAAATTACAATTGAAGCTTTCTGAATTCCAATTGACTATCCAGAATAACATTTGATATTTTCTAAATTTCAATTAACTAACCTGGATTACAAATGTTATTGTGTGAATTACATTCGACGCTTTCTGAATTACAATTGGAAAAGGTGTAGATGTGTTATATTATTTGAATATGGATGGCGTTTTCAATCACGTTTGAAATTACAGATAGTGTACTTCTTATGATACTAAGTGATCAAAAATCAAATGAACATTGTTTTCATTCCGCCAGCTATTTTATAGGTGAATTTACGATTACCTGTCTGACATGAATCTCTGCATCCCATGAACGAAAGTTTTTTCTCCTAGAGTGTAATTCAGCATTCTCAAAACGAATTCATTCTTATCAGATTGTGTATAATGCTCTATATGAGTGTTATTGCTATAGGGATATCTTTTGCTGAATTCATAATATACTGAATATAACGTTGATATGTACCAATCTCTGGATGGATCTGGTTTATTCAACTGCAAAATGAAAAAAATTATTATAGGCACTAAATAATTGACTTGTACTATATCGAAATTATTTTTTGCGATGGAAACATTAGCAACTGATGCCTTCGAAACAGATAGTGCTGCGTCATGATACTGATAATTTCACCAATATGGTGCATCTATATCATAGTGACGTCCTAGTTGAAGGAACTAATCAAACAGAATGAATTGCCCTATATATTTTTTATGTCTTTCCACAGGTACCTCAGGATTATTATATTAAAATTGCCCAAATACATGAAATCCTTCAAAACTAGCTGAAATTTGGTATACTGAAGCTGTATTTGATAATTTACAACTAGTCAAAACTTCCCAAGCTTCAGCCGCTTGCGTCATAACATATAGAGATCTATTGTGTCTGTCCCTCAAAATCGATTAGAGTTCTTCGGCTAACCCCGCCTTCTCTATGAGACTGCATAGGCTAGCTTTCAGATCCTCTGGATATCTCTGGGCTTCTGGTTTCTCCTCACCCAGCGTAAGGAACCTTAGTCTTGACAAGCCCTCACAGTGGCAAAGTATGTGTACTGCTGTTTCCTCTTCTTTCTGACAGAACCTGCACAGCAGTTCTTTCGTCAGACCAATCGTACTCATGTTGTTGTAGAGCCTACAATGCCCTGTGAGATGTCCCACTAGTATTCTAGTTGAACTTCTTTTCTGGCTCAGTAGATATTCTGTGAATGTTGGCGATGGTTTTTTAATAAATAAACTCTTTTGCCTGTCTCATACTTGGCGAGAAGGGTTCTGGGCCATTCAGAGCTTTGCTCGGGCAAGTGAGTCTGCCTCTTCATTGCCCTCGTACCTTGGTATGTGCTGGTACCCATGCTAGAGTCAGTCTGTTCTGACTGCCTAGTTCATTTCGGGTTTCTATGCAGTCCCATACTAGTTTTGAGTTAACTTGCATAGATTTGACTGCTTTGGTAGCCGCCTGGCTATCTGAATAGATTGCAATGGTTTTGACTTCAAACTCTCGCCTTATCAATTCTTTTACGCAATGATGTATTGCAAGAACTTCTTCCTGAAACACCGTCGCGTATTCACCTAAGCTCAGTGAGATTCTTGTCTTTGGCTTGGCCCCATAAATACCAGATCCTGATTCTTCCTCAGTTTTAGAGCCGTCCGTATAGACAGAAATGTCTGCATTGATAGGAGGTCCTTCCTTCCATGCCTCTCTGTACGTTATACTTATTTTGAAAGTTTTTTCGAAGCTTTATTTTGGAATTATGCCAACCGTTGGCATTTCCATGATGGGGTCGCTTTCCAACTCTTTATATATCTTTCTATAGCCTTTCTACAGTCTATAGGTGTTTGACCCCTTGACAATCTACTCACGACTGCTCTGGCTTCGCCTTGAATATATATTTGTAGTGGTGGCAGGTTCAGGAGGACCTCTATAGCAGCTGTTGGAGTGATTTTCATTGCACCAGTGGCACTCAGGCAAGCTTGCCTTTGAATAGCACTGAGCCTTTGAATCACTCCGGCCTGTTGTGTCTTTGGCCACCAAACTACTGACCCTTATGCTATCATAGGTCTGATGACGCTGGCATAGAGCCATGCGGTCGTTTTTGGTTGCAGTCCCCAATTTTTCCGCACATTCGTCTGCACAGATTGAAGGCTACTGTACTTTCTTGAGCAATTTTTCGTAGGTGTTGATTCCATGTTAACTTATGGTCAAAGATGACTCCTAAGTATTTTGCCTCTAGTACTAGTGGCTTTAATCCTTCCAGTACTCTCTTTTTCGTGAAATTCACTTCAGAGGTTTTATGAGGGTTCACGGTGAGTTCCTCCTCTTTACACCACTTGTCAATTATGTTTAGAACGGTTTGTGTAAGCTCCGAGACCGTACTTGTGAATCTACCTTTAGCGATGACCGCCAGATCGTTGGCGAATCCTAAGCAATAAAACCCTTTGGATGTTAGCCTTTTGATCAGTTCATTCATTAGAATGACCCATAGTAGGGGTGATAATACTCCTCCCTGTGGGGGACTATGTCTTCTAGAGAATATACAGTCTTGAATTTTGGTGGCGTTGAATTCTACAAGGTTGATGGTTCCCCAAGATTTTCCGCAATATCTTTATTGACAGCGTTAGCCTGCCTTCGCCGTCAGTTTTTAGTTTCCTGGGAAGAAATAGGTATTCTAGAAGATAACGCAGAATGGAGAGTATCATCGGGGCGGGCGTTGTTTACCCGAAGCGCAGGCGGGACGGGAGGGACACGGGGGTATATTCAGGAACCCAAGCGTTGGAGGAGTGGGGAGTTTCAGGACAATAATTTTCTGAGTATTATGAATACTTATGCAGATATTCAGCTAGTTATAGTCCTGTGCAAATTGGCATCTGGAAAACTGTGAATTATATGAAGTTGGTTGTATAAGATGAAATTTGACTATTTTAGTGAATAATGAAACGATATGCTCAAATTTGAAATATCACGAACTGTTTTCAAAATAATCAGTCGAAACAAAAATTTCTGTTTTTTCCAATTTGCGCTGGCGCCTTCATTTAAAGAAATATGAAAATATGTCAAAAACATTTTCTTCTCTCATTTGAATTCGTTTCGATGTGCTGTGCCTTGATGCTCAACGACGTTTAATACTTCAGGAGCCACACTCAACTCAATTTTTTTTATACGGATCTGCATATTTTCGAAGTTAGTATTCTATCGACTTCAGCTATGTATCTCAGCTGGCATTTCTTTCTATATCTCTGTTCATAAACTCCATCATCATGGCCCGATTAACAAAAATACCATTTTGGTTTTCCTAGTATATTTCGAAAATAATTGGTGATATTTCCGATTTGGAAACATTATTTCATTGTTCACTCAAATATCCAACAATGTTTGTCCTAATAGAAGTATCTTCTTCGTGTCCGAGATGATAGTATGACATAAAGAGTACTTTTACATTTTATATCAACATGTGATCATAGATTACCTACTAGACCTTTTGTGATGTGATGATGGAATAAATTTTATCACTATTACTGTAGAAAGTCATCTAGTCTAAGATCCGAACCTAAGTCGACCTTCACCGAGCTGATAATAGAACGAAATATATTTTATCATGAATTTAGTATATTAGAGAACATATTAAAAATGGGTTGCCTAAAAAAATCCTGGGCAGACTATTTTTAATTATTTTTCGAAAAATTATTTTTAATTAAATGTTGCAACATCAGGATAATAAAAAAATTGTGTCCTGACTGAAAGTATGAAACGTATAGAATGTGCAGCCGTTGGGGTGTCTACTATTTACCTGGGCGAACTACTGGGTTGTCAGGTAAACACAGGTATATCGATGCCAGTTACTTTCACTGGATTGGATAATTTAAAAAAATGTATATCATCATAAGCGCTGTTTAATTGCGAACACGTTGATATAGGGTTGTCTGCGAAAATTCCGGTCCGATTAGGGGTTTTTAATTTCAACGCGCGTGGAAGTGTGTGACAGAGAGATCCGAGGTTAGTATACTGTGTGATAATAAAGGACCCAACATCGCAGTCGCTTGTGATGGGACCCTGAATAGTAGAAAGTGCGCATGCTCGGTGTGTAAACTATGGAGGGTAGAGGTACCTCTACTACCCTTCATATAGTAAACAGTGCGTGTTATTTTGGAGCAACTGATATTTCAGTAGCAAAAAAAAATAATTAATTAATTACATAATAATTAAATATATTTAATATAATACTAATATATAAAAACAATATAATATCAGTATATTGCGTTATAACCATAATGATATATCTATAATCTATAATAGACAATAAAAATATCAAATACTTACTTTGAAATTTTTTTGCTCTTTCTGGAAATAGAAACAAAGTGGACCGCCAAAAATTTAAATTAAGAAATAACAAAAAAGATAGACTAGACATCTTGTATTACGATTTGAAATTTTATTAAAAAACAGTATAAATACAAAAATAATATTAATGAAAAATAAATTCTAATAAATATTTTCTATTCAATATCTGATTCATCAGAAGTATCATTTTGACTCTCGAATTCGTCTGATTCATTAGATTCTTCCTCATTTGCTTCCATTTCGACAATGTCCTGGATTTTCAAAGGAGTTTGATCTCCGATAAAACCTGTTGGTTTTAAGAAATCATCAAAATGCCAACCATAGTTTTCAGGATTTGACTTCGCACACTTTCTACTATTCAGGGTCCCATCACAAGCGACTGCGATGTTGGGTCCTTTATTATCACACAGTATACTTACCTCGGATCTCTCTGTCACACACTTCCACGCGCGTTGAAATTAAAAACCCCTAATCGGACCGGAATTTTCGCAGACAACCCTATATCAACGTGTTCGCAATTAAACAGCGCTTATGATGATATACATTATTTTAAATTATCCAATCCAGTGAAAGTAACTGGCATCGATATACCTGTATTTACCTGACAACCCAGTAGTTCGCCCAGGTAAATAGTAGACACCCCAACGGCTGCACATTCTATACGTTTCATACTTTCAGTCAGGACACAATTTTTTTATTATCCTGATGTTGCAACATTTAATTAAAAATAATTTTTCGAAAAATAATTAAAAATAGTCTGCCCAGGATTTTTTTAGGCAACCCATTTTTAATATGTTTTCTAATATACTAAATTCATGATAAAATATATTTCGTTCTATTATCAGCTCGGTGAAGGTCGACTTAGGTTCGGATCTTCTACTAATCAGGAAGCAACGTATTTTGAAAATCATATACTTGAATTTGAAATATAAAGACCAAAACACAGTATTGAATCGATATATCCTCAGATATATTAGAAATATGAGAAATATTGGAACATGAAGAAATACATATTGAGAATTCGCCTTCTCTATCTGATGAAAATATTAAATATTTTTCGGTATATTCAAGAGAAAACAACTACATTCCTGGCTTATATGCCGCGATGAACATTGAATTACCATCTATTGAACACACAATATGAATTTGGAAATAAAAATCCAGATAAAATTATATGTATATTTGTGATATTTGTATAATCTGAGAATATTCCTATTCAATACTTTCATACTCTATCAAGGGGTTCAAATTCAAACGATGAATACTTGTTCAATCTCTTATACGCGTTATATCAGCTAGTCATTGCGAACTACTTCTCTGAAAACATTACTGGATACAGCTTGTTGGATACTAATTCTTGCACGAAGAACAAACATTTGGTACGAATCACATATTGCCATTATATCCCGAAGCAATAGTTTCAACACTCCAATACAACTAGAGAATATCCAATATTGACCTTTTTAATAACATATGTCGTGACGTAGTTGGCCAAAACATGGTTCATATGAGCATGACTCCACCAGAGAGGACTAGTCAGGGATCCTAACCATTGATAAACCAGCTCATTAGTTATTATCCATGACCCTTGTTCGCTCAGGTCACTTTCGCTAAAATAAAAAGTTGATGAATTACTTTCAACCAGTTCATAGAATAAAAAAGAATAACTTATTTCAGATTTCATACACAGAGATCAACGTGAATTGCTGAGTAACGAAATACACCAGGTTGCCTTATTGGAACGACTTATCAATAAGGAGATCTAGTAGACCTCAGAATTCCTGAATTGATTCAAATAACCATCATTCCCATAATATTTCATCTCATGCTTTTACTATTTTCAGCAAATTTCTTTGGAAATATTGATTGATGAAAGTTCAGCTGTTTGATCATTGATCTTATTAGTATGAAATTTTATTCAGCTACAACATTGTCTGTAACATCACTTTTGACTTCGTCGATTCGTCTTTTTCACTCAACACATGATCTGACCAATCACAAGCCAGAGACAACGTGTGCTTATCGCGAAAATATTAGCTGTCTTTCAATTCTGATTGGTCTATCAAAGTTGATGCTCTTAACGATGTAACCATGGATAGCAAATCAAAGTCTGCCAGTTTGTCATAAAATCATTTGGGCAGTACTTGTCAGAATGAATCACTCATTCATAATGAATGCTTATTTTTATGCTTCGTGAACAAGGAATAGTCTAGCGAGATATCAATCTGTTCTGAATATCTCCTCATGATTCTGTCTTTCATTGTTAACTTAATTGTGTGTGTACCGCACAGCAATACTGTTCAGGAATCATGTACTTCTGAAATATAAACCAATTTCATCACATTCTCAATAACAGTCAATATATATTTTATCCCGCGATACCAATGCAATGCAAGAGGTGATACGCCGCTGCTCGGAACAACCCAAGGTTTAGAGATATACCGGATAGTACCACAAAAATGCGCAGGTGGAGCGCGAAGCCGATATTCAGTGTGGAGACTTCAACTGGAATGAATCCGTTACTGGAAAGGTGAATATTTTTTCAAAAAATTCCCGGCATACGTCAACAATTTAATGTATTGACCTACCTTTTGCAAGCAATATCGAGAATATATCCCTACAGGGAAAGCTGAAACCACCCTCAATATGATTTTTTCAAAAGTAATCCTATGGCTTGTGACCCCTCATTGGAAAGCTGGTGGAAAGAGGAATTCAGCGTACTAGTGAGATTTCGAGTTTTTCATACGTTCAAAGGTTGCATTAAATTGAAATGTAATTTTGAAATTATTCATTTTCTCAACGTATCAATCGCTCAAAATGTGTGTTGAACAATTGATGGAAATTTGTTGCCACAACTGCTATCTGCTATTGTATTTCAATGTGTTTATAGAGCCCCAAAAAGAAATTTTGCTTTTATGCCGTATTCACAGTTCGAATCGAAGTGTTATTGCGAACTGGTGGAGATGACCTATATCACTGTCACTAAAATTCGAAATTTTGATGAAAATATGTTGAAAATATATCAAACTTCGAAATTATATCTTGATTTTATGCGACCCCCAAACACACCGCAAACTGCAACCAGCTTTCCAATGAGGGGTCGCAAGCCATAAGGTTGCATTTGAAAAAAAAACATGTTGGGGTTGATTGCAGCTACTCCTGATTCCTGAAGGGTTATATTTTCCATATTGCTCGCTAAATGTTGGTGAATACATGTGAACGTTGACGTGTCTCTGATTTTCAGAAAAATCATTCACTCCTACAGTAGCGAATTTATTCCAGTTAGAGTCTCCACCCTGTATTTTTCGGCAAGTACAAAACGACACTTCAAGTAGATTTTTCGCGACGCAAGTGATCCTGGTGAAGATCACCGTCTCTGTACATATCTGATTTTTCTCTTCAAAAAACGAATTCTCGTCGTCCTATATGCCATATGCGTGTGTGCAATCCTCTATCCTAGGTAGGAGGAAGAAAGAAGTAAGCGCCAAAGGAACTCCTGAAGAAAAACTGGAATCAACCGGTGAGTCCCTCATTGCATTGCCGACCAGCAATTTTCATTCAATGACCCAATATCAATACTACAGTCCACTGCTCAAACTCGTACGAATACAATTTCGTGAACAGGAAGCGACATGATTAACTCGAATATTTAGAACATTGTGATATTACTATCGTGCTTCTGAGAAAAAATTCTTGTTGTAGATACACTTCAGGGTCTAAGGTCGGGTTAGGTTCCATGTATGTGGGGCACATACTGTCACTTCAACGCGACCATGGATGGGTCTATTGTGGCTCACCCATCACTGTACAAGCCACATCTTCTCACCATGGTTGAATCAGGTGAGATGTCTTTGAAATCGCTAGGTTCTAAATTGGTGAAGCCAAATATAACGAACTGAAATCTCTCCAAGCAAGAACATGAACATAGTATGTGTTCAGCCGTTTCTCTTCTACACAGCAGAAACAACAGTCTGCTTATTGGTTCAGACTCATCCCTCCTAGGTGATATCTCAGACGACAGTGTTCCGTGTGCCTGTTAGAATTCCCAGGGTGCCTTTGCTCCATTTATGGTTTAGGTCGGAACGCCTTCGAATGGGTTAATCCTGTTAATTGAGACCAGTTCGTGCGTCTTGCTTCCTCCGCACACTCCGAGATAGTTCTTTTAGCTGCACTTACGTTGACCTCAATATATGGTTCTGGTCTGTTCCCTGTTCGGCGAGGATGTCGACGTTGTCTTTGCTCTTCCCCTTCCTGGTGTTCAGGCACCAACAGCAAAGTATAACTCTGTTGCTAGCACCTGGGGATTCGATACAGTTCCATACAGGCTTGAATTGTATCTTGCTGGAGCTCAATGCTTCAAGAGAAGCCTGACTATCTGATTGAATAATTTTTTTCTGGTTTATTAGAGGTCTATTCGTCAACTCTCTTGAACATAATTCAAATATTGCGAAGACTTCCGCCTGGATGATTGCAGCATTCTTGCTGAGATTGACTGAGATTTTCGTCTTCGGTTTTCTGCTGAACACATCGGCTCCAACTCCAAGCGAGGTTTTCAAACCATTTGTGTACATTAACGGGCTCGGTCTCTTGGGAAATTCCGAATAATTCCGAAGATATTTGAAAAAACGCTGTAGCTAGATACAAGTTGATCTACCTTTATTTTATTTCTTGCAGACACGTTCATGACGCCACTCCTCAGCGAATGATATATTAGGTCAATCCAATCAATTCAGTATCATATTTTTTGATATGGAACAAAGTTCGGAATGTAATTCCATTCCATGATAGAAAAGTGGACATTTATTTTCTCTTTAGAGTTTCACGGTTTTATATTATCATTATCACTTTATGCGCTCTATCGAATGATATTATTAAATTTGTGATCTGACGTTCCGCATTGCTGCAAAATCTATAGTGGCAACAAGATGGTGCTCCTCCTCATAATGCAATTTTTTTTATATCTTGGAGTAAATGACAGAAATCTCCTATGATGTTCGTGGAACATCGCGCGTCAACAGGGAAGACAGGGAGAGGAGGTAGGTGTTGGAATTCCTTTTGAACTTTTGGAGGTTATCAGCTCTCGCGAATAAAATTCCAAAGATTCGCAGTTCTACAGACGAACGAGTTCTGGTGAGCGTTGTTCGACATTTTTTAAGGTTAGCGACGAAGGGATGTACTGACTCGGCCTGTCGAGTTTGTCTGACTGTTATTGCTAGTGATGGAATTATAGCAGATATTTCTGAGGAAGATTTCCCGAGGAAGTATCTATAGAGAAGTGAGAAGTCGCCGACTTCCCTCCGGTGTTATAATGGGGTCAAAGAGTTGGTGAGTGTGGCATCACCGACCAGGCGAATGACTCTCCTCTAGATGGAATCTAAGAGCATCAGCGTATGTTTGAGTGCTGAACCCCATACAGTATTCTAATACTGGCCGGATCTGTGCTTTGTAGATCATGAGAAGCTGTTGTGGTGTGAAGTAGAAGTAGAACGAGAAACCGAGTATTTGGGAAGCAGCTTTTGCGATGAATCGAACATGATTTTTCCATCAGATAGTTTTGCGGATGGTAACACCAAGCATAGATATTATAGTGGTCTTGGTGAGAATGATGGTACCGGACATTGTTATATCAACCATACTGAGTTCCGCCTTCCTGGAGAAAATACAGGCTTGAGTTCTGGTGGCGTTCAATACAACTAGGATGTTGATTCCCCAGGCTGTAATTTCCAAAATATCTTCATTGGCCTGCCTTCGTCGCAAATTCTTAGTTTCCTGGGATGAAATGGGAATTCTAGGAAAAAATGCAGTATAAGGGTACTATCGTCTGCAAAGCTGTGAATAGGGCAAGTGGTTGCCCCCAACAGATCGTTGGTTCGATAAGAGATGGCATAGCTGAAGAGCAGTCCTTGGTGCCAAACACGGACAAATGCATTCGACATATCTAGAGCTACAGCTAGAGATTCCCCATGTTTTTCTCATGAAGTTTGCCATATATGGGTGACGTTGGCAAGTCAATCTCCTGTTGATCTTCAGTGGCGAAAGCCATATTGTCGTCTATCATCAATAATTCGAGAGCTTTCCGGATATTTAATGAGCTCAATGTTGATGGCTTTCTCCATCACTTTGGAGATGACCAATAACAGGACGATTCGACTATAGTTGTTATGGGCAGGCTCTTGTTTCCGTTTTTGGAAATTGGTTGGACTCCAGCAAGATGGAAAAATACCCGACTCGTAGGAGATGGTAAATAGCTTGCAGAGATTCAGTGTAATTCCTGGTGCACACTTTTTGAGTATAATGGGTGAAATTCCGTCACCAATTGGCTTCATTCGTTTTGAGACCGAGCAGAATGCAATTGATAGTGCGTTGACGAAAGACAGTTATTTTGGGCATTCGACTTCCAACGGGTAGAATGTCTGGTAAATGGATTGGAAATCAAGGAGTGGTACGCTGGCCCCTCAGATCAATATCTTTCATGATTTGTTTTCATCGGAATTTACTCAGAAATAAAAAAATGCTATATGAAATTCAGTGAGAGAAACAAAGGGTTTACGAGCAAGAAATATTCAACGCGCAATTTATAGAATCATCAATAACCGCGAAAATGCATTAGATCGAACGATTTCCAATTTGAAAACTGGTTGTAATGATTATATTTTCGCTACTATCATGTGTCATATACACCGTTTCCCCCCTCCAAAAAATCAACCGCGCTTCGAATGACTCGAAATTTGGTCACCCAGTATGTTTGATGATGCTCACTCGAAATATGCTGAATAAATCGTAGGTATACAGGGTCACACCGAAGTGCACCCAAACTTTTCTATTTGAATAGGGATACCCAGTATATTATTCCATATTCAAGTAGAGTTCATTATTCATTAAAAATAATAATAATAATAATTATAATAATAATAATGATTCATTCACAAAATAACAATAACATCATGCAGTGTATCAAGAAATAATCATTTGCCTGATATAATAAACAAAATTAGTTATCATTATTATTATATTGAGGTATACATCCTGAAGGATTTGAAAAATTTTTGCCTTTGTATTTGTGAAATAAAAATGAAACTATTCAATGGAAAATTTATATGATTAGATTTTATCGATATAACACGATTGAAATCGAATGAAAAAAAAATAAAATAACCTCAACTGTTCAATATGTCGTCCAATATGCTGCAAACATTTCCTAACTCTTTTGATAATATTCATTGTGACCCTATGTATCACGTTGCGATCAATTTGTGAGCACAAATTTATGATTTTCTCTTTGATTTCTTTCACGACTCATAAACCTGTTGTTTCAAGTAGCCCCACAAATAAAAATCAAGTGGGGTGAGGTCTGGCGACCGAGCTGGCCAGTTGCTATCACCATCGAGACAAGTAGTGGTTGTGAGATTTTCTTTAAACCGATGGCGAAGATAATCCTTCACGGGTCTGAAGTTATGTGCAGGACACCCATTATTTCATTCGTGTCATATTAATGAAAGCTAATCATATAAATTTTTTATTAAATCGTTTCATTTTTTGCCATATCTTCGTAGTCGTTTGAAAAAATCCCATCAAACTCGGCATTGTTGAATTTGCAATGATGAACTCTAATCGAATATGGAATAATATACTGGGTGTTCCTATTCAAATAAGAAAGTTGAGGTGCATTTCGGTGTGACCCTGTATACCTACGATTTATTCAATATCATATTTCGAGTGAACATCATCGAATATACTGGGTGACCAAATTTCAAGTCATTGAATCGCGCGGTTGATTTTTTACAGGGGGGGGACATTTTAGCTGGGACACGGTGTATGTTTCGTAACGTTTCTCAAGTTCATTTCATTAAAATTTGCAAAATTTTTGTATTTCTGCAATAGAAAGGTTCTGAATTGTTGAAACCGAATAGGCTGAACCTTAGTCTCTCTAAACAAGAGCACGAACCAATTATGTGCCAATTCGTCTTCCACACAGCAGAAACGACCGTATATGTTTGTTGGATTCTGATTTTAACCCATCCTTCTTAGGTTGTATCCTAGAGGACAATGTTCCGTAGCCCGTAGACAGTCCTGTCAGAATTTGCAGGTTGTTCAATTTTCATCTCTTCGAATTCTTTATTTCTTTCCTTCAAAATGATGTTTGATACTATAGTTATACCTTCATAGGTTTTCATAAATGCTGAAAGAACACTATTTTCACTAATTGGCCGTGGATTTTCCATATATAGGGAGAATCAATTGACGGATGTTCTTTATATATTTTTTTATTATAAAAATTAGTCAGAAAAAGTAATAACACTAATTCACTAACGCGAAACATTAAAGGTATATAGGTACTAGAAATAAGCAACGAATAAATAGTAATAAATCACACATAATAGCCGCCCTACTAGCAGAAGTTCATCATAATGTACTTAATTTTTCAGTGTTTCTTCAACATCCCTGATTTTTTTTATAGTATCCATAGACAACATTTAGATTTGAAAAAATAGCGAATGATGATCCATAGAAAAATATACCTATAAGTTTGTGTGGTATCTCGGAAACCATACCAAAAAAAAAATTAGTACGCCACTGGATACAACGCAGAATTCTCTGTTAGACATAGTTCTTAGCGCAGCATTATTTTTATATAATAACTTCGTAGATATAAGAAGGGTCCAAAAAGTATACATTTTTGCTCTGTATCTCATAAACGAAAACGGTTATGCAAATTATGATCAGGCCATCTTGAGTTTGGACAAGAAACTTGGAAACCGCAAGGCTTACTTACTTGAGTAAAATTACACCCCAGCTATCAGCAGATCTTTTAGATTTGTAATTTGGCAGAGCTAAAATATCTAGTTTTGGTAGTGGGAACGCACACCCCCAGAATTTTTCTAGAACATCCAAAGACGCCTCCACTTTCTCAGAAACATTTTTCACTTCAGTGATAAAATCTGAACGTGTCCACACTCTCAAATGGATATCTGGAATGAAATGATTAACACATTTTCTCTTCTTCAATCGTCTTATATAATTGTCTTCTTACTTTTATCAGATGATAATCTGTAGCTTAGGTGACGTAGTTCAGATATAGCAATCCCCAGTGAAAAAGTGGACATCGGAGGAGATTTTCGGAATATATCCCAGACCCAGTCATCCATTGTTTCACTAATAGTATATTTTATTAGAATCAAAAGTGACACTTGGTTTGACAAGCGAATTTCGCATTTGCCAGGCGGAGAGGTCAGCGAAGCCAAGCGGAAGCAAAATTTGCAATAAAATCATCAAAATTTCAGCATTTTCAAACCCGGAAAGCCACCCTGAATATAAGTACCTATCAATGTTGTTTTATCAAAACCCCTCATTTCAAAATATCATTTCAATATGTATGTTCTTGGTTATTCACTTCAGTGCCATGAAGATGAAACAATAAAGTTTCGAAACGTCGACAATTCTACAAGACTAAATTCCCGCTATAATTCAACACCAGAAATTATATTCAACGGTCGCCATTCTATTCAGATATTGATTATGTTTGTCATTCAGAATTTTTGACGAGGGCCTTATTAGTACCTGTCTGGGACGAGATCCGCACAGGAACATTACACCTCGACTTAGTGATAGCCTCAGGATACTTCGCTGGAGATGGACAAGCACCACCAAAAGAAGAACAGAGGCTATCCGACTATTGCAGTAAAAGCAATCTACCCCTCTTGCTTGGCTGTGACGCCAACGTTCACAATATCATCTGGGTCAGCACGGACACCAATCGAAGAGGTGAGCAACTGTTCATCATCAGCAAATTCATACTCGAGGCTAACTTGAACGTACTCAATGCAGGGTGCACCCCTACCTTTGTAACTAAGGCTAGATAAGAAGTATTCGATTTAACGCTTTGCAGTCCGAGCATTAGTAGAATGATAAGGAACTGGATTGTCTCAGACGAACCGTCCCTCTCCGACCACAGAATTAATATGTTCAACGTGGAAGGGCTTGTGACACATACACCCTCCACTAGAAGTCCTAGAAATACAGATTGCGACAAAAACACCACCAATCTGAGGTGCAACTTAGAACAGATCCAGTTTGAAGGCAACAATCATGTCGAATTTGGGCAGACATTGAAAGCAGTTGATGAAGCAATTGTTGACGCATATACGAGTCTAGCTGCCCCATCAGAGGAAATAAATCACACACTGATACCATTTGGTGAAATGAACAGCTGTTAAATCTGAGATCCGAAGTTTTTTCAACAAAGCTTAGCGGGACGGAAACTGGCAGGAATACACCGAAAGGCTGATAAACAATCATGTCGAATTTGAGCAGACATTGAAAGCAGTTAATGAAGCAATTGTTAAAGCATACGAGTCTAGCTGCCCCATCAGAGGAAATGAATCACACACTGATACCATTTGGTGAAATGAACAGCTGTTAGATCTGAGATCCGAAGTTTTTTCAACAAAGCTTAGCGGGACGGAAACTGGCAGAACTACACCGAAAGGCTGATAAACTATAACAAAGGAATAAGTACAGCCAAGAGGAGCAGCTCCAGGAACTTTTGTGAGACAATCAACACAATCCCTGCAGCAATCAGATTGTACAAAACTATAGCGAGGGACAGAGAGCAAGGACCAATGTCACTCAGAAGAACAGATGGAAGCTACACAAATGATGAAAAGCAACGAGCTCTTCTCCTACTGGAGACGCACTTTCCAGGAAACACATCATGTGATCCCGATAGGCCACTAATGAAACCAAGCAAAGCAGAACAAGAAGACTGGAGAATAACAAAAAACATATGCACTCCCCAAAGGCTGGAGTGGGCAATCGACTCCTTCCAACCAATCAAGTCCCTCGGAATCGAGGGCATATTTCCGGCCCTCTTGCAAAAAGGGCAAATGGAACTACTGTTGTTCATTATCAAAGCAGCTAGATTTAGTTTTTGCGCTCGGGTACATACCGAGCAACTGGAGGACACGAGTAACCTTCATGCCCAAAATAGGAAAGAAGGACATTACCCTCCTGAATTCGTTCAGACCGATGTATCCCATATCCTTTTTGCTGAAGCCACTGGAGAAGACTCTAGATGATCATATCAGAAGATGAGAGGGCGCCACTGCATGTGGAGTCTTGTAGTAGACGAACTACTCGAAATACTTACCGGAAACGGAGTCACTTGCCTTGGCTATGCTGACGACATAGTCATTTTGGCCTATGTAAATTCGAAGGTGCCCTCTGTGATCTCATGGAAAGGGTGCTGATCAACTGATCGAGAACCACAGTGATACTTCTCACCAGAAGAACACAACGGTAGCTCTGGAGGACTGTCCGGCTCGGCGAAGTTGACTCAGAATGGCAGAAAGAGGTGAAATATCTGGAGCTCATCCTAGACGCTAGACTTCTATGGAATCGACACGTACAAAAGGTTGTCAGCAAGGCGGAATCATCACAGATGGCAAGAGTATTGCAGGAAACCCATCAATATTGCGATGGATGTACACCATGATAGTGAGATCCATAATCACCTACAGAGCAATAATTAGGCACGGCAGAACCGAATTCGCCACTACAAGGGAAATGTTAGAGAAGGTGCAAAGACTAGCAAGTCTCTGCATGACAGAAGCACTCTGGGATCGACTGCCACAACAGCACTAGAGGTTATTCTGGACCTCACACTCCTTCACATCATGGTCAGGAGAACTGATAGGGGAGCACATTTCAGGTTGAAGAAGACCGGGCTTGAAGGGAAAGGTCAAAACGTGAGGGATCCATTGCCCATCGAAAGTGCACACCTTGCCGATCTCCCAACTGATGAAGTTATCAGGAAGTTCAATTTTGATGAACATTCTGGAATAGAACTGACCACCAAGAGAGAATGGAGCAGGAAATCCATCCAAGCACTAGAATAGGAAACCATGTCGACAACCAAGCAGCCATCGAAGCATTGGGTTCCTTCAACATCAATTCAAAGATTGTTCGAAAATGCCTAGACAAACTTAACAATCTAGGCAAGAACAACAAGGTGATTCTGATCTGCGCGCTGGGCCATATCGAAGTAAATGAAAAAGAACTAGCAGACATTCTGGCACGAAAAGGAACATCAACGCCACTGATCGGACCAGAACCATTCTGCGGCATTGGAAATTATCATTCCCAAGAAAAACTCAATAAAGCTGGAAAAACAATGAGAGTACTACACTCGCAAAGACTTCCAGGACTGCGGCAGGCCAAAGATCCCCTTGAAAATTTCAACCGAGCAAGATCGACGATACTGAACAATCTCAGCAAAATTAGTCCTAAAGCAATAGCAAGATTTCTCACTATGCATTGTGGACTCGAAGAATATCTGAGAAAGCTAGGAGGAGAGCAACTGCAGATTCTGCGGGAAACATCCAGAAACACCCTACCCCATCTTGCTGGAGTGTTATGCTGTACATCACAAGAGATCGAATATACTGGGAGCATACCAGCTGGTCGTGAAAGCAATATCACGAACAGATTTTCTCAAAATCCTCAAATTCCAAAAAAAATTGAAGCTTCAGGGGATGCTATGAACATTAAAATCTTGAGATAGCAGAAGAAGATGGAGCACAACAGATTTAATCCGGTTGCAACGCATCTGTCACCATCCACAATTACCAATAGCAATAATACATTTTCTTCTATCATTTTAGGATACAAATTCTTTTGTTCCAAATGAAATAAGTTGATTCTTTCCACAAACCCATGCATTTCATGTGAACAATGTGATATTCAAACAGTTCTCCTGCTAAGATCAGAACTTTTCAGTATTTTCATGACCTCTTTTCCTGGTAAAACAACATATTGGTCATATGAACCACGTTTCCACCCCGGAGAGCTTCGGAAAAGGCAATCATCTATTTTTTCCTAATTTCTATGATTTCAATTGCAATTTTGTTCTCGATAATCCACTACTCGATAAACCTGTACCGCAACGAATATGGTGCTGATTAATGAACAATAAATGATATGGGCCCTTAATGGAACGTATCTTATCTAGGTAAACACAAAACACGAAGAGAGTGATTTTTGTACTGTTGCAGGAAGATGATATTCTTGAAATAGTAGCAAAATGAGTTGCTTAAGCTATAGTACTGACTCACTGTGGTTTGGTTGACTCGCGGGGCATATTCGATACTGCTGTCATAGTTTTCAGTCTGGCAACCGACACAACCATCGGAACCTTATACATGGGCTCATCATAACAAGGGAAAACGTTTCTGGCCATGGCAGGTCTCATGTGGGTGGACACAAACCATTTCTTCGTTTTGGTATCTGAGTCCACGTAGCTACTTCTGAACATACCCTCGGAGGTCTCGTTGAATAGTTTGCCACTGAATTGGAGGTACAATTGTAATTTGGCTCCTGGTTCCAATGGGCTTGCGTGTTCCATTATGAAGAGTGATCCGTTTTTCACTCTCTTGGATGATTTCAACTTCAATGGTGTTGGATGGTACAACTCCGGTTCGTTCCCAACCATTTTCCTGTATGAGACATCCAAACAATGTATTCAAGTAAATATCGCGATGTATCACAATGTTCATTTAGAGATATAATCATAAAGTATGTGTTTATGGTGAACTGCCATCTCCTTGTTTGAACATATTGATATTGGGGTTTATGACTTCATTACTTGGTGGGATGAATATGTGGATGATGAATAAATTTCGTTAGGTTTTTCATCATTTGAAGCACAGGGAGAAGAATTCCCTATCTTTGAGGAACATCATTGGTACCTAGAAGAGGATAAGTGGATGAGGTAGATCAGGTCAGGTTGAAAGTGAGTGGGCCTTCCACTGCGGCCAGAAGGGTTCTATTGTTGCTCACACCAATTCATACTTCACCAAGTGGATCCAGCTTCTTAATGATGCCGATTAGTTCGATTAGTGTGTGATCTTTTAGGTCCGAGGGCAAAAATGAAACTCTGCCCAACAGCAAAAACATGATTCGAGCCACGGCGGGGCATGTACAAAGTACAAGCTCTGCTGTTTCATAATCTTCAAGACAAAGAGGATACGTCGAATCATCCGACAGCCCAAGTCTTGAGGAAATATGATAGTTTAGACGACAGAGGACTGCAAGTAGGCCTTAAAGGATTTTCAACATCTTAATTGGCTCATAACTCAGAGGTTTCTTTATTAAAGATCATTGTTTTTTTATTCATTAGAGGAAGAACTAGAACTAGTTGTTATTATATGGTGAGATTCCAAAAAAGCATCGCTAAAAACGTAGGGAAAAATATGTTCGTGATATACGTCACTACGTGAGAGCATATGTTTGTCAATGTGGCATTAGATTCGTCATGAGTATAAAGTGAATTCGAATGAATATCAGATCCAAAGATACATTTATATTGATGAAAAACACAGAAATTAATTCTGAATACCTCACAGTACCCCTCTCAGTACCTTCAGACGTCACCCGAGATATTCTAATTTGCGCGGCAAACCGGATTATGAGATACGTCACAGTTGAAATTCTCAACGAAAAATAAGAATATATCTCACTTATTGACGTAATTTCCATTGTAAGGTCACTTCGTGAGATTTGGTAGTCCAATAATGTGAGATAGGCTGAGTATTCGATATTTCATTACACAAAAAACAATAAACATTGAGCTACGCCACTTTGTGAGACCATAGAGTATGAGAATTTGAGTTATTTGACGAAGTATTTCAAATTCCGATTCATATGAGATACGTCATTACGTGAGATGACCCACAATTTGTTTGGTGGCATTCTTCGAAGAATGTATGAATGCCTTGGAATGAGCCGATACTGGTAGATTCTGCCAGAAGTCTGAAACTCTTCTTGCAGTCCAGGTGTCCTGTATACATTTGACAAAACTTGGCGAAATGTCAATGGCAGATTCTGGTCCGATAATACTACTTGTGGCACCCTCCCTTGCAAGAGAATCTGCTGTTCCATTACCTTCCATAGTATTGTGGCCAGGAATCCTGGCCAGAAACAATCTAGACGTTGATCGGTTTGCTATGCTTAGTGCTTTCTGGTGTAAATTTTCGCCTGAAATACGGTTGCATAAGACCCGAGATAGATTGATATCTCCGTCCTAGGTTTGCGACCGTATGCACCTGCACTAGAGCCTGTGGGTGTTTTTGAACTATCTGTGAACCAACAGTAATCTGCTCTTAGTAGTTCTTCCTTTCGAAGGTGGTCCATCTGGTCATCTCCATTCGGGATTAGGACGATGTGAGGCAGGTCGTAGATACCTGTTGAAGGCATTATGTCGAAGGTCATTCCCAGAATGCTAGAACTTTGAAACTACTGACACATCGCATGAATTTGTTCTTATATCTTACACTCATAGAGGACGCTAGTTACACGGTTCGCACAGAGTAGTTTCAAACATAACTTTTTTGATGTTAGATTTTTCCAATTCAAATTCGATGAGAACTTGAACATCATCCAATTTCACATCAAAATGGTACATACTCTTGGTGAAACTCGATACTGTTACCGTTTCAGGCATATTCCGATTTGAAAATGATGAAGTGATAACTGTTGCTGGTATAAAGATATGTAGGCATTAGATCAAGTGTTATGAAAAACTATCACCTTTTCATTGAGAACCGAAAACTACAATAGATTTCCGATGCTGAACGTATTGATTAAATGATAAATCACAAGAATAGCATTGAAATCAATTTGACTGAAAACATGGAACACAGTTTTTGTATCTTGAGGAAAAAGTCTATGTTACAGAGGTGAATTCATGTCAAAATTTGCAAGACCAAATTGTACATCACTCAAACAGCTGATCCTCAACTATTTAGAAGGATATTGCAAATTGGGGGGCAATTTGAACACTTACTCTGAAGGATTCATTTTTTTTAAGTTTTCAGTCAAATTTTTCTCAATTTTGAACTTGTGATTATTCGTTTAATTATTCATAACTTTAGCACCGGAATGTTGTTACTCCATTATTTTCAAATCAAAATATTGCAAAACGGTACACAATATTGGGTTTTATCAAGAGTACTTCTTTGGGTTGGATTGAATGATTTTCACATGGAATTTGGACTAAAACATTTAACCTAAAAACAGTAATGTTTAACCGTGTAGCTAGCGCCCTCTATGAGAGTCAGATATGAAAATAAATTAATGGGATGTGTCAGCATCCAGAACATATCCATACAAAATTCCATCACAATGGTGTCAGTAGTTTCGGCATAATATAAAAAATTCGTGAGAGAATGTGTTTTTCAACACCTTGAATCTCAAAAACAGATACCGTTGAGACATTTTTTACTGATCAAATCCAAATTATTTTGCAGTGTACTATGAACCCATGTAGGAGGAAAACACCCTGTTACTCCAGTGGATTTGATTGGGACCTAAGCAACAAGATCATCCGCAAATCCTGCGACATGCCCATAAGAATGATCTAGCTTTGTGAAACATCTTTTCGAAGTGAGTGTTCCACGTGAATTCCTTATCGAGGATTACAACTAGATATATCACTTTCGCTGCATATGAATTAACCTTACCATTGAAGGAAAGTGTAGTTAGATCATCCAGGTTTTTTTATGGTGAATGATATTATTACAGTTTCGTTAGGGCTGACAGACATCTGTTCCTTCTAGCAGCAACTGCAGACATCATCCAACGTACATTGGAGGATATTAGAGGCTCAGTCGTGTTCCTTGCCAGAATGACAGGGCCGTTATTATAGCTCCACCCGTTTTCAGTAGAGGACGAATCGTCCATCAGTTGTGACCACAGAAACGTAGTTAGACTTGTGAGAAACCCCTGGAAACCTTGACCTGATGGCCTCATCTTGAAGAGATTTAGTAGCTGTCCTGTTTATGAGCAAGGCTGATCCAATACCGTTTGGTAATGCATTGTCAAATGCACCTCCGATATCGTCAGAAATAGCCATCGCAATATCTTTTTTGTTGAGATTTGTTTGAGATGTAATACTTGATTTGATCGATTTGCCTGTTTGTTTGATAGATAGATAGATAGATAGATAGATTTATTCTTCCGTGAAATTTACATTTTTGGAAACGTCAAGTAAAACATGTGGGTAAAAAATGTAGATAAAACAAGACATACAGAAAATACTGGGTAATGCCTTGGTTAGTTTCCTTGCCTCGGCTATGAAACGCCAGCCATGGCATTAAATCTTGCACTTTTCTGCCTAGTAAAACAAATAAGTCTTTCCTGAAATTCACGTTTTCTGATATAACTGAGGAATTCAAAAATAAATTTGAAAATTTTCGCATTTTGTATGGCCCTCTGAATGCACAACTTTTTTTCTGCTTTCCGAATTAGAGTCTCCTCCCCATTCTGAGTTCCCCATCATGCTGTGCAACCTTATCTTGGTCACACTGTATAGGCCCATAATTTAAGCTCAAAAATGGGGATCTTGGTTATCTCGAAATATACGATGTTGCTACATTAGGAGCAAAAATGATCATTCTGTTGCTGATCAATTATCTGAAAAAAATCTCACCTATCTTAGTTTTCAAGATATCGTCAAAAAAATGAATTATGCTATTTTCGTTATTATTTTCTGATAGGAAAACCAATCGAGTTACCCATTTTTGACCGAAACATTCTAAAAGCAGTTTCTTTTGCAATTCTCTTCTTATGGACACTATATTGCCTTTTTATGTTTCAGAATAAAGTTTTTTATATCGGATTCCGACGATGCAATATACAGAATTTTTTGTTTCATACCATGGTCGAAATTTCCTAATAAATATATATTCGAAGATTGCCGAGAAGTTTTATCGCTTTATCAAATCTCTGGCAGAGCAGAGAATCTTCATTAATACAACGATTAAACGATTGAATTTTAATTTTCGTAGATTCGGCAGGAGATGATACTGAACGATTTATTGTTGCGTTCTTATTAACAGTGCTGCTCCTAGGATGGCGTATAAAGTCAGTAACAAAGCTTACACAGAACCCTCATGTCAGCAGGAAATATCGTCAGTCGATGGCCAGTAGGAGGGTACATACACACACCTACTAAGTACATACATAATACTACTACTACCACCACTAGAAGAATAATCCAAGAAATTCATCGGAATCCGAGAAGCACGAAATATGGAGTCTATCAAGCAGACATATCTTGTAATCTCTTGGTAACGTAGCGGCAGATAAGTACGAACAAGGATCTTGACGGGGCTGTGGAGCAATTCAGTGACTTATTCACTTCAGCGTTTACTACTAACAATTGTGTCCTTATCCCAAGAAAGGCTACCAGGAATGTGCCCTGATGGAACTACGAACTTGCAGGATCAAGAAAACAAGGGAAAAATAACTTTTGAATTGAATAAATCAGGAAAATGGGATGTATACAAGAACGCCTTGACCGGATGAAAAGAAGCAATCAACAAATTTCAAGAGACGCCTGGAGAAAGCAATGTGAGGAGATAAAAAGCACTCATTAATGTGCTCTTCAAAGATTCAGAATGTGCAATATATTCTCTCAAGAACGAACGATTAGAGT